AGGTGCTCGTACTTTTAGTAAAGAAAATCATCTTCCCAACTCATTTTCTTCTTTTAATGTTGAGGTGCTCGTACTTTTAGTAATGAAAATCATCTTCCCAACTCATTTTTCGTCTTTTAATGTTGAGGCGCTCCTACCCCCCTCTCGCCTTGTCTTGTCTTGTCGCCTTGTCTCGTCTCTTGTCTTCGCTTCTCTTCTCTTTTCGTTCTCGTTCTCCTTCTCTTCTCTTCCCCCTCTTCGTCTTTTCCAAGCAGGCCATGCATTGGCGCACCGTCGCGCGTGTAGAAAAACGTATAAAAACCTTGGTTTTTCCACGCGTTTTGCGGGAACTCGCTGCCAATTGGGTTCTATATCGCTTACACTGTCACGGCGTTATTCTAGGCAATGGCTCTTACACGACTTCGTTCTGACACCGCAACCTGTGCACCTTCCAAGTCCTGTCGCGCACAAGCCCCTTGCAACCATTTCCTCGCTACTTTTTTTCGCTTACATGTCGCTTTTGCAGAAGCTCTGTGTTACACACGCGCTCTCTGCAAGTACTGTTCGCTGCCCACTCGCTTTTACACCAGCGCAGCTTTTGTTTTTGGCCAGTTGCTCTCCACTTACATGGCTCTTACACTACTTCGTTTTGACGCCGCACCTCATTGACACAAACATCTCCAGCCAGCGTGCATGTTCCAAGTCCTGTCGCGCACAAACCCCTTGTTTTCACGCACTTTGATATCGTACACTCTGTTAGCTAACCTTTGCATAACCTGCACACAAAAAAACACAATAGCTACACACAGCTACACACGCCCGGGCCATGGCGACCAGCCGTGCGGGCTCGAGCTGATGGCCGGCGGCATGCCGAAGGCTGTAAATAAACTTGGAAGCATTGGTAAAAATGTCAGTAGTGGATGGATGATGGAGTTGCTTCATCTACCAACAACAAAACAGGTTCTACCTGGCTGCAAAGGAAGAGTGGGCACACACTGTCCACAGGAGATCAAGGTATCATAACGTACACCCAAGGATACTGTACCAACTGGGGGATCCTGTGACTTGTTCACCTCGGCACACTGTTCACTACGCTGTTCCTCTCTTGCCAGGCACGACGTTTCACCAAGCTTCAGAAACGCCAGGGTACCTCGCAGCTGTCCTCCACGTTTAAACAATTCCAGTCTCGCCTTAGGCTGATCAGAGACCTACCGAAAGTCAAGAAAACTGCCAACACGCGTCTTCTCGGGTCACCAATTGAGGCCGAATTCTTCGGGTCCAAGAACCATTCAACAACTCGGAGACCTGTGAAGTCGGGTGCTGGTATACAATATGTTCTTATTGCTTATAGGCATATCCCGTCATACGCTAATTGTGGATGATGTTACCTACCCTACAATTCCTGGCCCACGGTTCCCTTGTCTTAGGAACTAATTTTAGACTACAACACCCAAATCAACCGAACTCTTCTTCATCGTCCCTAGGATTCGAGCCACCTTAAATTTAGTAACTTAGTAGCCTAATTAGCCAGGTCATCCCGAAGAAGCATCGTACGGATTATACCAAACCCAATCAAACATCTTTATATAAACATATTCAAACGTAACACCGAGCCGGTCGACGGAAAACACTGAAGACTCGGACGAACTCGGCACCCCGGCCGGTGCCGGTGCGATCCGCGGGATGGCCCATTCATCCACGATCCATGCATGGCCCATAATAGCGTGACAAAGCGGACTCGAGTCAGTCACGGCCGGATTGGCAGTGAACACTTAAACCATCGTAAATGAATCAAAGACCTATCATGGATGTCTGGTTCCGTAGCTACGTAGGTGGCCTGCGGATCCACTAGGGCAAAAATACCACACTGGCTCGGGATGGATGGCTGGCGGGCCAAAAAAGCAATGACTTCACCTGGAAGGATGTCCCATCCAAAGGAAAAACACCTAAAAACACCATGATCGGCCTTAGAGAGGAAAAGCCGGAGCCTTAAGCTATGCCAGGTCGCTCTCTTCATCGCCCCCATCGCCACCAACGAGACCGCGGGCCACGGTTGACCACGGTTGACCCGTGTGCGTGGGATGCTAGGCCTGAGCGTAGGATGCACCCAAGTGTAAAGCGACCCTTGATGGACATCCTGCGGAATGGGCGGTCAGTTCCGGGAATAGGTCGGAAGGAAGCCTACAGCGCCCATTGAAAGCTGCATGGGCCAAAAAATACCCTCATGTCCGTTGTAACACTTATGTTTGAAAACTGCTGGAAGACCAAGTCTAACAAAGGAATCCCTCATCTTCCAATCTCCTTTCAGAGGCCATCTGTCTTCGTTCGGAAAAAAAGTTCAAGAAACACGGCCGCCCACTACGTTGTGTGGGGCAGCCAGTCGGTATTTCGACAGCATCACCCACGGTCCGTCGGTGAGATGACCCAGGCACGACGTGTTCTACGAGGTTGAAGGCCATCATCGGGAAGTCAAGGTCAATTCTTGGTACACTCCGACTCACTAACATGGAAGTGGAAAAGCCCCTGTTCCTAAAGGAAAGTCGTCTTCCAAGGGAGCATTTTCCACTTCCATGTTAGCGAGTCAGAGCTTACGAAGGCTTTGAGACCAAGAAATGTTCCCGAAAGTCAGTCACGAGGTCTCGGGCGGAAGCGACGCCAGTGGGTGGCTTCATAACATCGGCCCCCATGACTTGGTTCATTGACTTTTGAGTCATCAAGGGGCGTTATTTTGGTTCATAGATTTGGTTCATTGTTCATTGTTATTTGGTTTCATTGATTTTTCAGATCAAGGGGCGTTCCATCTGGAGACCGAACTAGGTCATCTCTCTTGCTTTCCAGTTAACCAGCTGGTGGAGGCGAAACAAAAGGTAAACACCCCAGCCGCAGCAGCCGTTCATTGGCAGCCTGCCCCCAATGCACCGCTGTGGTGTCAACGCGGCCGAGACGAACGACCTTCCGCCCACTGGTGAAACCTCCCGATCTCTTTCACCCAATTCTCACCCTCCTGCCTGGAGGCTGTGACTAAAAGCCCTCTGTGGGGGCTACGACTGCGTGAGACTGGGAGAACATCCATGGCGTTCCATGGTGCACAATCCGCTGACTACCAGCACTGAAGTCACCTACTATTTCCGGATGGTTCGTCGATGCGTCTGACCTCGTAAGCGTGGGAAAAGCCTGAAAAGCTTTGAGTTGTTGTTTGTTTGCAAGTTGCTGCTAGCCCCTGTCGATTCACATTTGAACCCTTTCAACTATCTTCTGCCACCTCAGGCTATTCCAAGTTCCAACAGCTAGAGGTGCTGGTTCTTCGCTTCCAAGAATCCTTTCCACATACCCACCAGGGAAATGTCTGCAAAACACATTCACATCATCGTTTCAGGTGTTTGTGGACTCTTCTCCTGCTAAAAACTTCAAAGAAATGAACCAAAAGGTGCCAAAGTTGGGCCACGCGGAGGCGCTTCCAGCAAGCCGAGAGTGCTAGGTGAGGTTAAAAATACGACGCCACCTATCCCCCCAAAGCTGCTGCTCCAAGGAGGTGGACACACCTCTATATACATAACTAGTAAAGAGCTCGCCATTGGGTTGGAGGCCATCGCTATTAGGTTGGAGGCCATTGCTATTAGGTTGGAAGCCTTCGCTAGTAGGTTGGAGGCCATTGCTATTAGGTTGGAGGCCATCCCTAGTAAGTTGGAGGCCATCGCTATTAGGCCAACTTGTTGAACAAACAAAGAGCAAACAAACGGTGAACATGTTGACATGGGGCAAGGTGTGGCAATGCGGCAAACTGCAAACTCCTTCCATTCCATTGAGCATTCACAACAGGAATCCTGATGATTGTTGTTGTAATACCTGTAATACTCAATGCTCCCAACCATCAACATGGAAGCCTCATGTGGAAATGACTGTGCCACTTGGAAAAAAGCAGTGAAAACTATCGAAACTATACTTTCCCATACAAGTCATGAGTGACTCCGACACTTCCATGTTTCTTCTTGTGAGACTCTGTGAGACTTCCAATTGTAAAAAACCAAGGAATCCGTGTTGGGGGCCCCTTTGACCGATCAATCTACCGGAATGCAGGGCAAACCCGGTTGGCCGTTTGGGTCTATCCCAGTGCCAGTAACCGTGGATGAAGATGCTTAGTAAGGTCCTTTCTCTAAAATCATAGTGATAAATGTTACATTTGGAAGACTACTTTCCTCTAAAACCCAGTGATTTTCAGGTTCCATGTTCATCTTCCCGGGTGTAAATGTTTGTGGACTGTTACAGGTTAGTACATTTCATAGGACAGACCCAAGGTGATCCGTCACACGCGATCTGATCCCATAAGTGTTTCTTCGCTTCAGGGATTCGTCGAGTACTCTGTAGACCACTTGGGCATGTCCAAAAAACAAATCCATGTCTTTAGGGAATCCAAAAGAGCCACAAGCAAGAGTTTCAATTCAGATACAGGACTTGCTTCCACGCAAAACAGGCCCTTTCACGTTTGAGGAAGGCTTGATATCCCACTCTCCCACTATCCCTTAACAGTGCGAACCAGCCTTCTAGTATCCCGCTTGGAGCGTCCATCTTACGCCGCTGAATGAACGCTACACTTGCATGGTTTCTCCGATTCTCTCTCCCAAAACCACTCAAAGCACCTCAGGAGGTATCTAGATGGGCGATGACGGGTGTGTATTGAAATAGATGTCCCAAAGACCCCTGGAAAAGGGAAAAAGTGGACGACCCCCCGGCTGGCTGGCTGAACCTCTCCCCCATGACAGGAACCCTTAGCGGTTTGACCAAGTTTCACCAACGCAATCACCGGACAGCATCCCAGCGCCTGTTCATTGTCCATGTTGGTGATGAGAGCACCTGCCATGTACGGCCCTGACATCCTCTGTCGCGCTTCCGATCCGGAGGACCTTTCGTCGGATGTCGGCCGTTTCTCCAAACGGGACTTGTAGTTCCTGTACACGGTGCAGTTCGATCAACTCGATGCGCACAGGATGGCACTCGATGGCCCGTTTCGGCGGACCCATGGTTCTCTCCGGACCCTCCAAGCACCTTAGTCTAGGGTGTCAAACTAGGGAAGAAGTAACAACACACAACCCTAAATGCAACCCATTTAACGTTCTGTTAGACCAGATTTTGACGACCAATCTGACTGGTGTCCCATGGTGTTCCACTATTAAATGAACATAATTGAACGGCGTACCTCCTCGTCAAGGAAGGTTAGGGACATTCCGATGTTCCCATGTTTTCCCTTTCCGAACGCCCCCCAAAAAAGGAACAATAATGAACCAACCCACGCCCGACCGCGGGATTCTGCTGATTTAGTCTTGGGGGAAGGAGTTATAAACAGGATTGGACTATCGTCGATCACAACCGTTTTGTCAGTTAACCAAATCATGAGAACTGCTCAACCCCTGGACGTAGGAGTTTCACCATGCGAAACCCACCGTTCATCAGTCATCATGGTACCCAACGGCCGAAATTCGCGGTGCTTTTACAGGCGCCTGTGTCAATGAGAGCATGGAACTGTCCCTGTGCCACTCGCTCTAAGAGCTTCAAGGGGCTCCAGTCAGGCTCACAAACCTGCGAGTCGGCGATCAAACGCGTCGCTTCTTCATACGAGTCGTGATTTCGGTGCTTCGTGCCGGTGCTTCGTGTCGGTGTTTTGAACAACACCCAACCTCTAGCTCCCTGAGAAGAAGGACGAACGGCCCACATAGGCTGCATGCATTGTCCAGGTGCACAACCACAGTACTCTGACCACATAGCAGAAATGGTTCCAGAATGGCCAGTTAAGGGATGTGAACATGTGAACGTCGATCGCATGGACTCCTTCAAACATCCCTTCCGGACTCGGCGCTTTGGGATGCTTGAGTTTCACCGTTTGGCGGGGTAACTCTCTTTTTCGAAACCAGTCCCTCACTAAACGGGGCACATGGTGCAACCAAACAAGACCCATTTTGGAGCTCGCATGCACAATGATGCCTATGTTCATTTGGAATCTGCTATAATAGTAGTAGTAGTAGTAGTAGCAGCAGCAGCAGCAGCAGTTAGTAGTAGTAGTAGTAGTAGTAGTAGTAGTAGTAGCAGTTAGTAGTAGTAGTAGTACTAGTAGTAGTAGAAGAAGAAGTAGCAGTAGGAAAAGGAGTAGGAGTAGGAGTAGGAGTAGGAGGAGTAGGAGTAGGAGTAGGAGTAGTAGGTAGTAGAAGTAGCAGTAGTAGTAGGAGGAGGAGGCCACTGGTAATAAACCTATTTTATATATATATGATTATATCTGTATCTTTCAGTCAGCTTCACATCATCTCCAGGCCATGCAAGAAGCAGTAAGGTTGTCGTGACATGTGTCGGGGAAAAAAGCAGGGCACTTGGGATCAAGTCGCAAAGCAGGACAACCACTCAAGGGGCAGTGAGAGGGTGGGGCAGGCGAAATGACGTTCGTGTTCAGCCACTTCGCATGACATGTTTTGGTTTGGACTGCCTGGTAGTCTGACTCCGGACTAATGTCATGTCTGTCATATTAGGGGAAAAGACCCCTTGACACCGTGGCACGAACATGCACGAACCAAGAACTGGTCTCTGCAGAAAAGCAAGCACATCGCCGAGCAGTCCTCCTCGCTTTGGGACGCACTGACCCGGTGATTGAGGTGCTGTGGACCGTGTTGAGTGGTAAAACCAGGCCGTTTTCAATGCTGAACGTGCCGCTGCCACCACTGTGAAGCAGTTCACCAGAGCCATATCGACCGTCTCAAGCCAGGCGGAGAGTTCGGAGAATCGACCAAAGCAATGGGACCGGAATAGATGCCCCCCAGAAAGCACCCCTGGCCCGATCGGCATCAGAATCATCAGTCCCATTGGTGTCTGGGAATGGATCATGCGTCATGGGTCAGAGCTCAGAGAGCTTCAGAGAGCAGAAGTCGGATGCACAGAGCGCACTTGGAGAGTCACTTGCAGGTGGCACCTCGAAAGCCAAATGTTCATGCACATGTTAACAGTATCGAATTCCGAATTGCGTTTTTGTCCACGGTGATTGATATGATTTGATGTGTTCTTTTTTTCTGAGCACTGTTTGGATGCCAGCGGTTCCGTGGGGGGAGAAACGAATCGACCGTTTGGGGAGTCAAAACCCGGAGGCACAACACCATGTAGCGAACGACCTCCCAGGTAGGTCAACCAAGGATGTTCAATGACGAGACAAAATGAGTCTTTGAAGTAAAAACCAGTGGCTACGCAAACATGCGTGCGAGTACCATGCCAGTACCGTGCATGTCATGTCATTTTCCTAGTAAATGGCATGGTCCGCTTGCCACGAAGACCAGAGCTTCCATGTTCGAAAGAAACTCTGACCGTTTTCTGACTTCGCAAGGTTCCCAGAGAAGGAGATAGACGTATGTGCGGTTCCTTTCCATGTTCTCAAGGACCACTGCTCACTGGTTCCTTGATGTTCCTTTCAGGGTTTCACGAGGCTTCTCTCCACGACCTAAGGAGTGAGGCGACGATCGTGGTGGACGTCCAGCTCTTGGAGCCTTTCAACCACCTCTGTCGAAGAAGACCCCTCCCTCCACTCAGAGTGTTTCAACCACCGGTGCGGTGCGAACCTCAGGTGTAAACCGCACCGTGCGATCGGCGAGGTTGATTTCCCCGCAAAGAGTCACGCGATTGGTCAGATTTCCAAGAGGGAATGTCTTCCTCCGCGATGTCACGTCTCGCCCTCTTCGGCTTTTAAGTGTTGCCAAGCCGCGAAGCCGCTACCTTCGTGCGGGAATGTTCGCGTGCAAATCTTCTCATAGCGGGGAGATATAGACGTATGATTCATGGTTAAGGTTGTTCATTAAACGAAAGGTGTGAGTCCCCTTGTGGCAGTGTCAATGTTGGGAGAAGGAAGAATAGAGAAAACGAGGAGAGACACATGAAATGGATGAGGAAAAGGAAGAGAGAGGGAGAGAGGGATAATGTTTTGAGGGAAACAAATTAAAACAAAAAAGTGGAAGAAACACATAGAAAAACCATAAGTAAGATCAAGTAATAAGTGTATAACTGTATAACAAAGAAAACGTGGAAAGCATTTAACACTGTAACGAACGGTTTGAAAAGGCAAAAGATGATCAAGCAAATCACAAACACAAAGGCAAAGAACAAGGAAACTCGACACAAAGAGATACCAATTTGGAAGCAAAGGGAGTCATGCGGAGTGTTGGGTGTCAGACTAAATTAAGACAGCTCTGGGCAGTCCTGGCTCCCGATCTCGCTCTCTTTCGTCGCTCTCTTTCGCGGCTCGTTTCGGTCACCGGTGCGTCCGCCGCAGCGCTCGCGACGGAAACGGCCTCAGCACTGGTCACCTTGGGGTCTGTGAGCACCGCCGTGACCTGTCCGTCACTGCCTGGCGCGTGTCGGTTCCGTCGCACGGGTGCCGGAACCGCGGACTTTCCGCTTTTCCCGGGCCAGGCAGGTGTGACTCCAGAAGGAAAGACACGAGCTGCCTGGGACTGACTTGTTTGATGCCGATCATATTGGGGTCAAGTCAATGGGGCGACATATATCCCAAACACTCCATGTATTGGCATATTTACCTACATTGACCCCAAGTCAACCACCCCAAGGTAGGTAAATATGCCATTAGTCGTGTCTGGGTATATACGGTGTATATATATATATATGCCGATGTCCCATGGTCTAGGGACGGAGGCCGAGGCCTGAGGCCCTTCATGCGATGAATCGGGAGGAGATGAGAACCGGTGGGATCCATAACCTCCGAAGGCAGCATGTCTTCCATCAAGAGCAGCAGGCTCTGCACTAGGGTTGGTAATCTGTTTAACACATGCACCAGGGCTGTATGGGATTCTGATGAAAGCTCGCAGTTTGAAGACACGCTTCTTAACCTTCCAATTGACAGCACATGATGAAGCGATCTTTCATGATCTTTCTGAACTAAAGGGACTTCCAGAACCACGTCCCAAAGCCCTCTGACGTTCAGGCAATCTGCGTCAAGTGCCTACTGAGTGTCTACTGCCTACTGCATACCTCACAAGCCGCAGGGTGGAATGTAGAACGTTCGGGGTGGGTGCAGGTCCAGTGCTGGCAGTCTCTAAGAGTTTCCAGTCAGTGCTGGGCAGTCTCCGGCTGGTCACCCAGGCACCCATGTCGCCTGGCTCGTAGAAACATTCTCCCAAGTCCTGGAGGTGGTGGACTTGGAGAGATCGTTTGTATGTTCCACTCTTCCCAGTACAACCAGAAGTAAACCAGTGGTACTGGACCTTCATGTCGGGGTGTCCTGTCTGGAGATCCCGGATGGTAGTGTAGGGGCTTCCATTGGTGACCCCTTTGACGGTGCTGGTAATATCTGGTTAGACTAGATCTGTCGAGCGTAAGGAAAATTGGGAGGGGCTGGGCGGCAGGGCTTGCTTTCTTTACTCAGAATTTCTAAACATATATGCGATCAATTCTGAGGCTTGGATAATGTGTTTGACAACACCTGCGGGGTAAGCGAAAAAGGGGACAAAGATAATGGAAGCAAGGAAACGGACAATCTTAGGAAGGCTGTGTTTATTGCTAAATGGATTGGTTTCATCATGAGGGATGTCTGCCTGATATGTGGGAGAGTTGCACATGAATTATCCTCGACCTTGGCACGGAATGGCTCCGAACGAGGTGGGACCCTTACCTTGACATTCGTTGGGTTTGTCGATTGTCGCTGCTCGAGCTGATCACGTTCCAATCATCTCCATCACCGAGCTGATCTCCAAACACCAACGCAAGCATATGGTTACGACATGTTACGACACTGAACGAACCCACAAGGCTCACGTACGGTGCAACAAAGACATGAACCCATGGGTCACCCATGCAAACTTTATAGCAAGAAAGAACACGCACCAAAACATTGACCAACACCACACAACCCCGAGACCAAACCCAACCAAATCTTTAGAAAAGAAGAACACCCACCCTGCAGTCACATGTCGGGGTGCCACCCATGGAGGTAGTCGGGGTGCCCCTGTCACATCCACTCACTTGGGGACTAAACACCACCCCGTCTTGTGACTCCTGGACTGCAAAAGATTGCAAAAGTACCCACCCTGCCTCCAGCTTCAAAAACACTTTCTGTCCACCCCCCTGCACTGCGGTCCCACACATCCAGCTCGGTGGAGCTCCCTGCCACCCCAACCGGTGCCGTGCCTCACATCCAGTGGTGCCTATACCCCCCCACCGCCCCCGGCTTCGTCCTCGGGGAGCAAGTTGCTGGGGGTACCACTGAAGCCCAAACGATAGCCAAAGAGCAACGAGCTGCCCAATTCATGTCCACCTCGCTTCCCAGTCGGTTCACGGCGGAAGTCACGTCGAAGAGCGTGACGAAAGCGAAGCCAGGACTGGGACGGATGGAATCTTTTGGGGAGTTCCCAGTGGAAGGACTTTGTGAAAAAGAGAACAATTCAAGAAACAACAGTTGTCACACATTCAAGCAAGCAAGTTTAAAAAGGGAAAACCAACAGATGTTCTTTGAGTCATTCAAACACATAGCCCGTTTGGCACGTCGACCGCGTCAAGTCGACAGATCCGCAGACCATTGTCCCACGGCACGACGTGGACGCCATCTCGGTTGGTCAGACCACAGACCAGACGAATGGGACTGGAAGAGTTAGCTACCCCCATGGGACTGCCATAGGACTGCCGCCCCATTGACCCCCCCCAGTCAACCACCCCTGGCCTGATCGGCATATATATATGGCATACATGGAGTGTCTGGGTACCTTGGGATACATTGGGGGGCGGGAAAGAGTATACTCTTCCAGTCCGGATGGTCGCAGACCAACGTCAGGTGTGCATTCCTTGGCCAAGGCCAGGACAGCTGACCCAACTGGAGACCGAAGAGACGGGTTCGCCAGAGCCAAGCGGAACCAGCGAGAGACCCGAGACCCGACGGAAGCGACCTGCTCGGGGGTCACGTGGCAAACACAGGCGACCAAAAGCCACCACTGAGCGAACACGTGTTCAAGTCAAAAACAAAAACAAAAGCAGTCAGTATGCTTTCCAATACCGTCGTTCTCCGAGCGCTGAATGGGCCGGTCGGAACGAGAAAAACGATGCTGGTGGGACCAGCTGCATGTGTGAAGGGGTGGCATGGATGGAAAGTAAGGAGGGTTTTGCTGATGACACCAGCTCCAGGACAGGAACTGAACCAATCTCCAACGACCTGACAGCTGCCTAGCAAGTCCGGACGGGCTCAGAGCGGTGCGCACGTTGACCCCGGTGGATTTGAAGTCTGAACCCTAAGGGTACAGGACCATCCGATTCGGATGTCCTGCCAGACCCCCCGGCAACGACCATTCTCTGGTTTCGTACGTTATACTCACCTCCCTTCGACCATCCGAAGTACGGAGGTACCTGGACCCTATGGGGAAGGAAAGCATTCGGCGCTGGAGGGATCGGTCCCATGAATTTTGGATTCTGGTTGACGGACCCGGTCGACGAAGGGGCGTGTGGGGGTGTGAAGCGTCTGGGAGGCACGCTACGAGTATAGTGGCCTTCACCCTAGTAGCGATGGCCTCCAACCGAATAGCTTCTTGCTCCTAGTAGTAAGGCCAGGAGCCCCTAGTAGCGATGCCTGGAGCCCCTAATAGCTTCTTGCTACTACATCGTTCGGAGATCTAGAGAAGGGTCAGGAAATTCAACCCCTTCCACGAGAACCGGCCATCGACGCCCCTGAGCTTTTTGCTGGCAGAAATCTTGAGGGGATGAAAGTTCATCGTGACCTCAGATTTCGGCATGGCGTTGGCGATCGTTCTCATCGTATGTCTGGATTCTCTATGATTCTCCTGGAGAATCCTGACGTCAAAGTGTTTGTCCGTATAGCTTTTGGTTGTTTCCAACATCCATGCATGACCTGAAGTTTCAGACCATGTCCTCCGCACTTGTCTAGACATCATGAGACTAGACATAGGCAAATGTGAAATGGGAGTTCTTCCCCCCAGCGAGAATTCATGCAGTCTTCGGCATAGAAAACACCAGCGGTTTCAAGACACTTATGGAAGGAGGCCCGGCCCTGCAGTGGAAAGGAGAAGGACCCAGGGCAGAGACATCTCGCTGGTAGGTTGGAGGCCATTGCTAGTAACAAGAAGCTACTAGTATCAAGGACGCCATGTTCGGTGCACCATCGCTAGTAGGTTGGAGGCCATCCCAACTTCCCAACCTCGCTCGAGGGAACGGTATGTCCAGTGGATGGGAGCTGCACGCAGGATGGGACCAGCCAAAAACGCGGCACACCCTGCCAACTGTCTACCTTTTGCTGTGCTTCCCTGTGCAGTTCACAAACGACGTTGTTGGCCTTTAACATTACATGAGCTGTTGGCGCTTTACATGGTTTGCATAGAAAGAGCACATCATGTGGCCAGGCTGCTTGGCATGCAAGGATAAACTAATCCTGAATATGTCAAGAGCTAGGACTGTTTGTTTCTTGGCTTTCAGAGTCAAGCATAACATTCACTGCACCCAGGGTGCGGATGCTCTGCAAATAACAGAATTCCTGAAGCACCTCAGGAAAGGCCTTGTTGGACTCTTTCTGGGTGAGCATCTTCACCCTCTCCATTCTCGTTCAACAAGGCTTTTCCAGACACTCCCAAACACTTGTCTCTGAATGCTTCCCACGCACCGTTTTCCTCCTTCAAAACGAAGCGATCGCTTCTGGCCCCGGGTCTTGTTCACGAACAATCATGAGATTTACCAGCTGGAGATCAAACACCAGCTTCGGAAAAACCAGCACTCAGGACTCGGGAGTCTCCCAGCACTTGTGCAACAAGATCAGCACTTAAGTATGCAACGACTCATCCACAAGTTGGCTAGGGTTTGACCAAGAAAAGAAAGGCTTAAAGAACACAATCCCTATGGATCCACATACCCTCCGAGAAGGAGATTGGAGACACTTTTATGTAGGCTTGAGGGTCCGTCCAAGTACTGTACCTTCAGAGAAGGTATGTGTATCCGTAGGCAATATCCAGTCACTGTCACGGGCCATCTATGGTCATCTACTGCTGGGGAACCGAACCTGCGCGGTCATGTTGAAACTGCATGAAAGCTCGATATAGCTGTGGCTTGCATTCAAAACAAACCCAGCTTCCCATGTGTCATGGGATTGGGATCAAGAATCACATCAACCGGCTCCGAGCCTTCATCGTCCCATGTCAGAACCGTAAGGAAATAGAAACATGGAAAATTTAAATAAGACCCGCAAATTATGCCTTCTCAAATGATTTCTGACAAGAAATCTTTATTGAAAGCTTCCTCCTAGAGTTCACCCATTCTTGAGCCCACCATAGCCCTCAAAGGATGGTGGCAGCTTGCAAAAACTGATCCACAATGCCAGCTGATCAGCGACAAGCAAAACGATTCTTCGCCACCATAGCCCTCAAAAAGGTGAGCAATTGAGGAGGGTCAGCTGTTTCACTACAGCTGAACACTCGTTGCATGTTCCGCTGGAAAGTTAAAAAGGTAGAGCAAGAACGTCCTCGTGTATTCGACTTCCTCGATGATTTTGTTCTGAACTCCACTGAAAAAAAAATGTTTGCTTGCAAAAGACACACATGAAGCACATTTACAGAAAGTCGCTTTCGCTTTCGCGCCACTTTCGGCTACTGTGTACGTCTTCTTCGTCAGATTCATGCAGCATCGCGAGGGTGCCGCGCCGTTGTGTCCAGCCCTCCGGTGCTGAAAACTTCATTTTGAAAGCTGCTCCTCCCGAAGCTTTTGGTAGTATTATGTCGGGCACGCCAGCCATAGATACAAGGAGCCAAAATAGTTTTATAAAGCAAAAACAAAGCAAAAGGCAAAGCAAACAAAAAAGCAAAAAATGTAGCTGTGCGTATTTGTCGCTTTTTTTCACTTTTTTTTCGCTTTATTTTCGCATTTTTTTCGCTTTATGTTCGCTTTCTTTTTCGCTTTTTTTTCGCTTTTTTTCGCTTTTTTCCTAGGAGGGTACAGCAAAAGCATATTTGTCGCTTTTTTTCACTTTTTTTTCGCTTTATTTTCGCTTTTTTTTCGCTTTATTTTCGCTTTTTTTTCGCTTTTTTTTCGCTTTTTGTTTTGCTTTGTTTTTGCTTTTTGCTTTGTTTTTGCTTTGTTTTTGCATTTTCATTTGCTTTTATTTTGCTTTTTTTTCACTTTTTTTTCACAAAAAAAATTATTTGATGGTTGGCCATGTATGGCTGCCATCGCCCAACATAATGGTAGTAGCTGCCGAAGCGTGCTTCCCATTCGTCGGCATCGTACGTCAGGACCTGGACCCGTGCGAGACCTCCGACGGACGACGACCTTTCGACCGCCAGTCTTTCGGCGGTCGCCGGGCGGGATCGTTTCAGGGATCCGAAAAAGGGGGGAAGGATCACATACCAAGAGAGGTTGAGTGACCCTATAGACTATCCCAGCTCGGTACCCCAGTAGGGTCCTATAAGGTCTTTCAACCTCTGTTGGTATATACAAAAAGAATGGTCTGACTAGGGGCCTGAGTTCGGGAACTTCCTTTACTCCAGCCGGTCAATAGAATAGTCGAACTGGACTTCATATATATATATAAAACTACACCCTAAGGGTCCAGGACCATCCGATTCGGATGTCCTTTGACCCCCCGTTCGACCATTCTCTGGAAGTACGTACTCACCTCCAAGACCATCCTCAGGAGGTACCTGGACCCTATGGGACACTTACTCCCTTGGGCTCCTCAATGTGACTGGACATGAGTGGACCTGGCACGCAGCCACCCCCAGTCCCACTTTCGAAACGAAAGCACGACTGGAGCCCTAGGGTTTGAAGAAAAATAGGACTATATATAAAGTCTCTGTGGTCCCCTGCTCTGAAACAGACCATTATACAGGTTGCTTTGTCGCCGGGTCTTCCTTCTTCTTCTCAAATGTAGGGGCTTCTCGAATGGCTTTCTCTGCTTCTTCGACCGCGTTTTCGGTTCAGCAGGAACTCAGTGCACCAGAACCAACCAGAACTGCTTCGCTTCGAAACACTTCGCTTCCGAGATGGCCAACAAATCCTGACACCTTTCGCCTGTTCTTGCCTGTTCCTGCCCATGGAGACTTTCTGTCTTCATAGTCTTGGCTAGAACAACAACTGCCCGACAACTCCCCACCACTACTGCTCTGCTTGCTCTGGTCAAGGTCCTAAGTGGTTTCAACACAAATTGATGTTACTATATATGGATCCTATGGCAGTGGCTTGGAAGTGTCGCGCTCCAGCTCATCCCACGTGAATCCCAAGGCACTCGAGAGGGAAATCCTTTCAACTTGGAGCACGCAAAGCTTCCGATGCAAGGGATTGCGCCTTGGAGCACTCGGCGTTCATGGCAACTCCTGCTCTTTTTCATAAATGTCATTCTGAGTCTTTTGTTGGCAAAACTATGCAAAGTTCAGCCGAAGGAGCAGTCAGCAATCTTGTCGACATCAAATGGCTCAATTTGAGCCACTGCATCGAAGAGAGGGGATGCTTCCCCAGCTCTTGGAGTAACTGAAGGCTTCTGAACGCTCGCAGCACAACCCATGACTCGCAACACGTTCGGATAATGAATTCGGAGCCACAAATGGCTACAAACAGAACTCTCAATTGTGGCGAAGGGTGCGCTACAAGAACACCCTCGTTGCAGGTTGTGTCTCAACTCACATCCCAAAGATGTGGGATACCGCTAATACCACCCACCCACCCGCCCAGCCAGCCATCCTGAACCAACCACTTGGGATCTGGATCCCATGTCAGGGCTAGATCTTCCCAGGTGACTCAGATCTGCCCTTCTGAGGTCGTTAGAGCCTTAAGATAGACTACCTCGACCATCCTTAATTAAAGGGTATCCTGGCTGGACTACCCTACACTGCTTTGGGATCTCCAGCCAGAACACACACTCGATGGTCCTGGTATATGATAGACATGAAATTATATATTTGTATACTGGGTCTCCTATTACCTGTAACAGTGGATTTTTCCGCTTTCAGCCTTATCAGGATACGTTTTGTATCCACAGACGACTAGTCAGCCAGGGCGTTTCGTTCAGGCCTAATGGGAGCGAATTGGCACGAAGGAGTCTCGAATGTCTGTGCAGTTCGAAAGACATGTTGAGCACCTCGATGGGTGATTGATTGTTTAGAGGAAAGAGCACCTCTGGATTCGAAAGAGCACCTCTGGATTAGGAGGCCTTGTTTGCTTCAAATACTTATCAATCTCAAGGTGAGTGACCATGCACCAGTTGTGGGATTCCATGTGCAGGATACCAGCCTCGTATCCCCAGCCAACCCAGAGTGTCTGATCGTTTGACTCTCACTTGTTGTCCAGCAAAAGGAAAATCCCTTGTGCTATAAGCCAAGTCAAACATATAATTGAAACTTTTGGTTTGCGCTCCAAGTGGAGTTTTTGCCAACAAATCAGCATGAACGGATCGGTCTGCCAGCTCAACACATGCAATGTTATGTCCAGGACGTAACTTGCCTGGTGTGATATTGATTGGAGCTTGACTGGAGGTCGTCAGCATGAAATAAAAGTACCATCCAATGAATGTTGTCTGGCCCAAACAATGGCAATTGGTTGGGCACCAATGTGCAATTGTGTTGCCCGTTCAAAAATTCTGTAACAGAAAATGGGGTGGCAAGGGCACCTAAGACAGATTTGGAGGTCGCCAACAGCTGCCGGGGCAGCCACATGGACAAAAGCAGGTTGCTTGTTTGGGCTTCACACACAATAGCTTCGGATCCAAACGTCTTCGTTTCTCAATAAACGCTTTGTCAACTTCGCGGTGCTCCAGAATGAAATCACCAACGAACTACCTGCAACAGTGGATGATGATGGTTAGTAAAGGCCTTGTTCAAGAATGATGATTTGGTTGCATACTGACTGTTACAGGTAAGAACTTACAGACCCAATATGTACTTATGATTCTGTGACATACTGCCCCGGTCGTGTCCATTCTGAACCCTGACCTCAAGGAGACCAAGGGTTTTCTCCTCAAGTCTGTTCGCTCCAATCCACATGCAGTCAGCATTTGTGGTGTGCGACCGTTGCATCGTCAAATTCGTGAGTCCCCATAGTCCCCTGTCCTCTTCCAATGTTAAAGGGGATTTAAAGGGTATCCTTTTTGTGTGTCTCCTATCGTTTGCCAGGGTTTGGAGCCTGCCAGCAAATATGAATGCAACACTCTTATTGTAATCATCGCACAGTCACACATATGTGTCAAAAAAAACAAAGGAATCTATTTCCTTTCTTTCTAGTACTTGTTCTTGTGTTGTTTTGTGTGTCTGTGCACTTGTTTTTGGAGCATACCAAGATCAACTCCGATCCCACTAGCTAAGGCAGCCAAGACAGCCCCGAATCGTTTCACACTATGTCAGACGGACGACAAGCACAAGGCCAGCTGAAATCGATGGTCGCCGCAAGGAAACAGCCTCACCCCTGAAGCAAAGGAGCTGGGAACACGTGCTGCCGAAGCCAAAAATGTGCCACTTCGCTGGTGTTCTGGATCTGGCGATAGAGTCGTGCCATCTGCTTCCTCACATCGCCGGTCGGTCGGTGCGCGGTCGTCCGGTGGTCTCGGTCCGGTGGTCTCGACCTACCGTGGAGGTGCGATGTGACGCACCGGTGCGGTGGGAGACGGTCGGAGTCGTCTTGTCAAACAGAGACGAACGTCATGGCCAAAGACTTCTTAAGTCTTCCAAAGGTCTATACTACTGTCTAATGACTTAGGCCAACGTGATGCAAGTGACATTCCAAGTTACTAGTCAGTAGTATAAGTGGTCCTGAGTTTTGATTGGAAGATATGAGATGTTGGAAGACTCCCCCTGCCCCACACAGACGTCTATGTCAGGCCCCTGCTGTGGTTTCTTTTTGGAGATTTGCCCATCACAAACTTCAAAAAGTCCTCCTGATTTATGCTCCTCACTGGTCCTCCTGTTTCTACGTCAAGCTGTGTACGCAGCACCTGTATGTCGTAGGCCTTGTCCCATGTACAGTTTCTCCCCTTCAGAATGGATGTCTGACTCCCTCAATGTCCCTTGACCATAAAGGTTATAAATTACATAATAACCAACACTGTCCACCTGTTCTTGTTTCATGGGTAAACCAATCTCCACGAAAAACACCGGTATAGTTATTCCACTGTTCCTGGGTATGATTCGAAGCTGTCCCCACCCATCATTTTTGTTGCCCCTGGGAGAACTCGACTCTTGCTTCGCTCCATCTCGCCAAAGGCACGGATCCGTTGGCTGAAAGAGAGACAGCGGCAAGATGTTCCTAGAACAGCTGCAGAACAGCGCAGAACAATCGCGGGGTTTGGGCGAGGATTCGCGGGGTTTGGGCGAGGATCCTGTGACCGAAGTATTCGAAATGAAGCAAAGGCACCCAGGGATGCCAAACGAGTCAGTGGTGGACCCAACTTGCTGTTCCGAGCGGAAAACATCTCCATTTGAGGCAAACAAAAGCTTAGTTCCAAAGATTGAACCCTAGGCCCTAGGCTAGGATTTAAACCACCCATTGATTTGATACTTTGGGACTCCCCCATGGACTTGGATCACCAGGGTTGATTCCTGGCTCCATGGGGCTCCATCAGTGTAGGTCGCCGTAGGTCGCCGCTTTCAGAAGGGCCGTCTGAAGCTGTTTTGCATGTAATACATACCCTTGCAGTCAACAGAACAGACAAGCAACGTGCCGATCCTCTCCGAAAGGAAGTTTCCCCAAACGAGTTCCTGGCATTCGGCCCTAGCAAAACATGGTGTCCGACCCCTAATCTTGACTAGGACCCGACGTCTGGGTCATACCCTAGAAAGTGGGGGGCCTGACCCCAGAAAACAGATAAATGATGGATTTTGATGGTCTTTGGTATGTCTTTGTCCCCATTTTCTGGATACGAACTGAAACTCCAGGTACTGAGACCTTGAGCGATTGGACCACCGACATCAAGACCGGGGAGTCTTGCTTTGTCGTGTTCCATGGATGCAAGACATCAAGACCATTGGTCGTGACCAGTGGAGACCAGTGGAGTGGAGACCACTCGAGGGCTCAAACAGGGTCGGGGACCCCAAACTCCCTCAGTATTTAAGCTAAAAATGACAACAACATAAGATCTGCGCCTAGGGCCCGAGGTTTTGGTTTTGAGATACTGAGCCACATCCATCGACCTGAGCTGCGTCCTTGAGAGCTCTTCATCCAACCTTCTCATCTTGTATCCTCGGCACTGCGATGCAAACTGTCCGGCTCTGCCCCCTGGGGCCGCAACCCGTCGTGGTGTCGGGGATGACAGGGGAATTGGGAGGACTTTCATGGGTCTTTCCAGCACCAAAAGACTTGTGAGGACAAAGCACCACAACTCCTTAATGCTCCTGGCGCGCCATGACCTCCTCAGAAGGTCTGACCAGACCTTCTATCACCCCGAAATCCACGAGAACGGCAGGGTCGAAGCGACACGTTGGTTTGGTCCAAGAGCTATCAGGTTTCAAATGGTTCAAGTTAACCTTTGGGATGGAAGTACGTCCAATAATCCCTTAAAAACGAAGGACGAGCTCTTCACCGTCTGAGCAGCCTTCTGTTGAAACACATGGGATGCTTCACCTCCAGCAGCCCCCCCTACGCTCGTCCGTCAGATGATTTCTGAGGGCCGAAAAGACCCTAGGGCTCCAACCACCTCCTGAGAAGGTGGTTGGGGTGGGTTTGGGGGGTCTAACCACCTTCTGAGGATATGGTTGAGCCCTAGGGAGAACTCAAATCTGGTACCCCAATCTCCGACCCTCCATGCGAGAATGGCAGGAATTCGTCGATCGCATCGCCATACACCACCTCCACATCCACGAAAATGCTAGCTCAGCGTCTGGGGCTGCTGGGTTCCTCCTGGCCCAGTGAAACCGCCAGGAAGGAACTCAAAGGAAGAAAAGGTCCGGGCTACTTCCACACACACTTGCTGAACTATTGCGACAATCCTTCGTTTGTTATGAGTTATGATTGTGTTCCAGTATATATAATTACACAAAGCTGTGAGATAGACTATGCGACCTGGAAGCCTGCGCATGCTATGGCATGCTGCTGCTTTTGGGACGATTGGGGCTCAAGAGATCTCACGAGCATCAACAAAAAGGGCGGATATAGACAAATAGATATAGCCCTAAGAATCATTCGACCCTCCCATGGAGGGTTTGGTTTGGACCCTCAAAACCTTCACCTTTGAGGGTTCTTGATTCTTATGGAGACAAATAGACAGAGAGAGAGAGGGAGAAGAAAAAAAGAAGAGGAGTCCACGAGTCCAAAACCCCTCAAGATATGGACATGGTCATTCTTCCACCCCGGTGATCCTGGCACGCCGTAGATGTTTCTTCCCTGTGTTCTCTCTCCCTCGCAGAAGGTGTTTCGCGGTCACGCATCCGGCCTGCCGTACCCATGATTCAAAGAGCACATGCGCAGGCCGCGTATCGCGCGGCCTCAGTTGCCGGGCACCATCCTGCAAAACGGTCAGCACGGTCGACCGCGGTCAACCGCGGTCTTCCGTCGGTCGTCTTCCGGTCGTCTGATTCGTCGCCTCCGTGCGCCCAAGGACGAACACCATGGACCACATGTCACATGTCGTCTTGGTGATCAAGAACCAACACCCCAAGCCTAAAGGATTCTGAAGGGCTCCTTAGGTCCTTAGGTGATTGGTTGACTTGGAAGTTACACATCTGAACTTCCTAGAGAGGGGTCAGCAGCCCCATATTTCGCCTATCCCATCTGTACCAGAAACTGGGTCCCGCCTCCTTTCAACCTCTCCAACTCGCACGAGAAGAACGGCCAAGATCTCCATCTGCACAACATCAACATCTCCATCCCCAGATCCCGAATACATATCCCGAGATCCCGGAGACGTCGCTCGGCCTGCTTCAGCTGTGCCACGATGCTTCGCACGTCGCTCGGCCGTAGGCCCTGCCGACGCAGGCGAAGGGTGGTGAGTTCCGAACAACGAACACAGAACGGACTCATTCCGGAGGCAACTCTTCCGCTTTCAAAAGCGCCGGCCTTACAACTAATTTATTCCAGCACCCTCCAACAGGTCACCAATTGAAACCTGTTAGGGCCAAACAACCCTCCATTTCGGAGACCTGTTGCAGGGTGCTGATAGGCTTAACTTGTAAGGTCTACCTCCATCCTCCTCCCAAGCATCTCCAGTAAAATCGCGCGCCGCGGGGCAGGGGCCCCAAGAGTCGCTTGCCTCAAAGCGATAGGCCAGGATGGTGAGACCAATGGCCACGTCGGGATGCGCGAACTCACTACTACGGGACGGCACATCCTGGAGAGCGGAGGGAATGAGTGGTGAGAGAGAGGCTCCAAATGGCTCCCAAACAGGGTGGGCAGGATGAGATAGGATGAGTTTACACTGGGATGGGATTTCTTGGAATGGATCTAGGGGAGGGGCTGATTGGTGGAAGGAGTGAACTGGAGAAGATGAGATGACCGGTGAGTCGGCGAGAGAGGATGTGTTCATTGTTCATTCAACTGCCCTCAGGTTGCCAACAAACATACTGTATACACATCCTCGGGGGCTCCAACCATATCCTCAGAAGGTGGTTAGACCCCCCAAACCCACCCCAACCACCTTCTCAGGAGGTGGTTGGAGCCCTAGGGATCTACACATGCACAAACATGTTCTATGGTTAATCCTTTGCACGAGCTTGGCCAGCTTGGAGAGGAGACATCCCTTCCCGTCAGTCAGGCTCCGACGACCGGCCGAGCGCGGCTGTCCTTGCCCACGAAGGGCACAGCCATGACCAAGCGTGAGAAGGGAGTCTTCTCATCAGCGGCCTGTGGAAACAAGCAGGTTCCATCTGCCCTTCCCTGAACAGCACATGCCTTTCTAAATTACTGCAAAATTCTGGTATCTCGTTGAGCGGACATCCGAAGCTAGCTGGATACCTGTGTACCAAAGGAAGAGACCCATGCAGAAAGGGTCTTGCACGAGAACTTGTCCATCATACACTTCTTCAAGAAACGTAGAAGTAGAGGGCCTGATCCAGAATGCTCTTCTATACAATCGGAGAACGAACCTACAGTGCCACAGTACCTTCCACTGAAACATGTCAAGCCAGCTCTAGCCATCCCTCCCCCAGAAAGTGAGGCTCCATCCCCTGGCTTGGGGTGAATCTCTTCAAATGAATTTCCAGGATCTGACAGCAGAAAGCAATTCTGTCGGCTTGTCAGCTTCTGACCTTCTTGGGGAGTCCCGAAGATTCCCTAGTGGTAACCTTTTTCCGGCATAAGTCACCTCAACCACGAACCATGGGATCAAGTTGGGTCACAAACTGAAGGACCAGGTGCCTTTCTTCAAATCATCTCCATGCAAACAGTTATAGAGTTGGATTGGATCAGATGTGGGATCAGCTCAAAACAGCGCCTCAAGCCAACCCCCGCAAAACATGTGGAATTACAGGGACCTCTGCCGCAGAAACCGACGACCACATCCGATGACCCCAGTCCACCGCCTTTGGGGGGCCATTGAAAGCCCACCAAGACTTGCCCCAAAGACTCAGCTTCAAAACAACGGCAAGAAACGAAACGAAACATATCTATAAGAGGGTCCACTGTGAAATAAACAAGCAAGTTCTTCAAGGAGCCAGGATTGTAGGCTTCACCAAGCACAATAATGTGAAGTTTGCCTGAACCTTTGGATCTGCCAAGTTGTGAATGGACCAAGCCTCTGGTCTTTACCCGACCGATTTCTTTGGCCCATCCAACATCCCCGCCTCCAGCTGCTTCTTGCTCAGTAGCCCATAGGAGACTCGATCGATCTTCGCCAGCACATGTGGCAGGATAGCGCCAATCCAGGTGCTCGCTAGGTTGAACCTCAACTCGCCATCCTTCCACGCTCCCCATCCCCGTGATGCAACAGGTCGTCATGCGACCCCAAACGAATCAGATGCAACAGCCTTCGGGCGACACACGAGAATCGAACCTCCGGACAGGTCTGCCAAAAAGAATGCCCCCGCCAATGGTTGCCAAATATTGCGACTCAATATGTTCCAAACTTAAACCCAGTAGCTTTTTGCAGTTTTTTATCTCCTCCACATTCACGTGGATGTCATTTTCATGGATGGCCTTCGCCTTTGCAAACTGGGAAGATGGTCTTGGCAGTTGAAGGAACATCTCTGGTACCCCAGCCGGTTCTTTTCTCTTTCCATCTGAGGCACACCCGGAGTCGAAGACCCGCTGGGAACGCGGGAAACGCGCGCGGAACGTCTCCGCGTCTCTCTCGGTTCCGCGCAGTTTCAAGGAGAAAGGCGTGAGCCCAGACTCCAAGACCTCCAGAGAAGAACTTCGGGCAAGAAAGGTGTATCTTTAGAACGCTACTAGGGGCTCCTGGCATCGCTATTAGTAACCATGTTCGCTACTAGGGGCTCCTGGCCGTGTGTTTCCGGGGAGTTGTGGGGTCCAAGAAAGGCCAATGGGGTTGTGTCCATCTTTCCATTGGGACCAGGTGACTGACCTGTCTTTGAGGCCAAGTTGATCACTTGGTCAACGACAACGTCCACCCTTTGTTCAGGTGGTTCATGGAAAAGTGGGTTATAGTATTAATATATAATGCATCCCTTAAGGGGGTTCTATTGATAGCCCCGAAAAGAGGTGATTCGGGGGAAAACATGAAAGCCACCCCGACAGTGGGTCCTGGATCATGCATTCATGCTTTTGGTTAATAGGTCAATAGATTTCATCCGGTCCAGGTCGCTTGATCTGAAAGTTCCATCACTCTTGCGCTCGGAGTCGATTCGGCGCCCTCTCCACGGGCCCGGTCGGCCATGGCGCCATGTCGAGTCCCACAAGAACTGGCGGAATGACTACATTCTTAATACCAGGACCTTCTCCGCCGTGGGGTGCCCTGTCTGAAAGCCTATATAGGTCGTGTGGGGTAGTCCAGCCAGGACACCCCGACAAGGTCCAGGGTCCAGGTAGACCTGGCGTTGGTCTTATAGGCGGAAAACTCACCCTACAATGCACACCCACGGTCCGCAGTGTGCTCGTCCTGGAATTCACCATGGTCTACCTGTCTCGTCCTGTCTCATCCGTCCAACTCGCCGGGCTGAGGCCAGGGGTTGGAAAGGTTGCCAGGGTTGGGTGCGTCTCAGGTGACGCACCATGAATCGCCGGGTCCTTTCCAGTCTTACTGGTTGCCCTGCATGGTTTTCCTCCGGTGTTCCAATCACAAGCTGCACAAGTCTGGATACTAGTCTGGATGTATCCCTCCGAAACACTTGTGATGCAAAGGATCTCAATTGCCCAAATTTCAACAACCCATGTGTTTCTGGTTGGGACTGGCTTTCCGAGCTGAGCTAAGGCGCTAAGGATTTCACACTCAGACTCAACCAGCTCAACCAGTCTTCAAATGGTCGAACAGAAGGCGACTGGCCCCTGCCTGCTTATAGTGGAAGGGTTGGTCTGCAACCAAGGCTTCCAGCAAGACCTTCAACCGGGCGGTGGCCTCTGAATCAAACCCTGGATGAACGGTCCACCTTCGCAGCCACTCCATTCCCCTCCATGTGGCACATGTCATGCACCTGGAGAACCGAGGAGAATCGGGTCGCATCCAAGGTCTTGGATCTGAACTGGAAGGATCCCCACCGCCCCCGTGAGCCAATGCTTCAGAAAACCCCAGTGATCGACAGAAACGGCCAGGTCGACCTGGTCTCCGTCCGGGATAAGGTTTACATTTACATCCATGTGCTTTGTTTCATGTCGAAATTGGAGTGTTCCAAACCGAAACCCGCGCGGAAAAAGACCAAATCAAGTTTAAAAAGATCTGACATCCTCACTCCACGGATGTCTACAAATTTGCCACCCATAGCCGAAACATACCATCACCACACCTAGAACAAAAACTATATTAACCCACACCAAAACCAGAAAAAAAACAGCACCACCTAAAGGGTGGTTTACAAACACCCCTGACCTGTGAGCCTGTGACTATGTATTCTTCCTCCAAGAACCACCCGAAATCCGTGGTGAGTGGTGATTGTTTCTTTCCCACACCAGGCCCCTTTTCGGCCCTTCGTGTCCCGTCTCCAAAAGCTGCGCCAGGAAGAAACACGCCTCAGGCCTTGCCTCAACACACACCAACACATGCCCACCACCATTGAGGATCACGCCTCCTTTAGCTTGGATGTGCTTCAGGAAGCGGGAAAAAGCACATCCCAGGTTAGTGGATTTACTCACACGGAGCAAGGACAAAACAAAAACCTGAAGCAAAACCAGATTCGCCACACCTCACCCTCACCCCTCCCGGTTTGAGAACTTCTTGCGACCGGTGTGAGCCGATTCGGCCGAAAGAAAGAGCAAGCTGCTGTGAGGGTCCAAACTCTCACAGAGGCTAGGTGGGGGGTCCTGAGTCTTGAGTCTTTCAGTGGACATGAAGCATATGGGGCATTTGGTTTGGCGAAAATGGGGCATCTCAGAAACACATCAACTGTTCCGACCACCCTCCTACAGCGATAGAGCCTTGTTGGGCGCCCATGAATTCTCGGAAGTCTTGACTGCTTCACTTCCGCTGGACACGGCGGAGCGGAAGTGGATGGCACCACCTGTTTGGTCTTCGGAACATGGGAATCCTTTTTGGGGCCATGCCATCCACGTTGGCCCATGATCCCTAGGGCTCCTGGCCCACCTCCTGAGAAGGTGGTTGGGGTGGGTGGGTTTGGGGGGTCTAACCACCGAACCTGAGGAGATGGGACAGGAGCCCTAGGGGATTCATATTTCAAGGAGTGTACAGTAATTGAACAGTTTGCTTGCGGCACTTCCCCAGATAAGTTTTGTCCGTCAATATCTTGAGTCTTCAGTTCGTATGCTAGAAAATTCAACTTGTACGTAAAAGTTGGGAAAACAAAAGAAAAAACTACAACTGTTCTGTACCCTGTACCGGGTACCCCAAGACTAAGACTCCAAATGACTCCAGGTTCTACTCTTTTCAGTCAAGCTGATCTCATGCGATCCAATTTCTTTGTTCTCCCACCCTGGCTGATCTTCCATATTCAACCGTTTCGCCAGGGACATCCAGGATGACCGAATTCTTTCCTTCAGGACCAGCCGACCCGCCACTGGCAGCCCAGAAGAAGCTCCTCACTTGGAAGAGGATACCATTTGTGTGACCAATTGGTGATTCTAATTTGTTATTACTAGTAAGGCACTTGTTCCTTATAGTTTCTTGTTACTACTATCTCAACATGCAAATCAACCAACTGCGGTCTCGCCCTTTTTTGCAGATTCTTCCGCCCCCGACTCACCTCGTCAGAGAGGGAGCCTGGCTGACGATGATGCAAGAGATCATCAAAAGCGTTCAAACAAGCAACATGAACCACCTGAACCACTCGCAGAGTCCCCAGTCCCCAGTCCCCAGTCCCAGCACACCACCACACCCATTGCCCCAAGCAGAAGCCTCCGCCCCAAGCAGAAGCAGTTGATCATGTGCAACTAGAAGTGCCCCATTAATGAAAAATGGTTTTAGTTTTGGGAGTCGGGACCCCAACCAGGCCTTCTGTGGAACCGCAGATGCGAGCATCAGTGAACCGTGGAAAATGGTTCCTGAACCATGAAAGCCCTACATTACATAGAAGGCGTGTTCTTGGATTACATAGCCATTTTGTTACCTGGAGTCTCAAAAAAGATCAGAAAATTAGGCACAAGTACCTGTTTTGATAGAGTCATGTCCCATGTTCTAAGGGACTTTGGAGACATCGATCAGATCCTGGCACGGCTCTGAGGATTGTTCACCGGGCAGGACCGATTTGGAGCCGGTTGGTGGATGAATTCGCTGTCTCCGGTTCGCAGCTGGGAACATGGGGTATACTCAGGACCTGGTTATTTACGTATATATATTATACAGGGACCTGTTCTTTTAGAGGGTGGTTCCGTTCTCCAGGGTACAACACTTCGGGCCCGGGTGAGCCAGGGCGAAGACTCCCTCGGTTTGGTCTCATCCCTTTACCTATACTACCCTCGCACTCCGTGCGTCCGCGAGGCACGGCCGGAGTGTGTGACTGGACCGCAGGTGTTGCGTCTCCAAGAACCACAGGATCTTCCAACTCTGCAACACTCCTGGTTTTGGGGCTGATTCTATGGATGTAAAGCCAAACATGTGGCACATTTGGAAGATCCAGGTCATGCTGTTTCAGCGCTTCCAAGTGACGAACACAAGCCTCAATATGCCCCGTTGACCTGTTGGACCTCCAAATGCCCCGCTGGTGGGCGCGGAACCATGGTGGGCGGCAGTGGTATTGAAGGGGAAGGAAGGTGCCTCCGAAATGCAGCCAAGGAAAGTGATTGGAGCGGCTCACCTCGGTCTAGAGCTCTTGGAGTCGAAGATCCCAACATAATCGAAATCTCCTGGACTCGATTCATGTCGATTTCACCATGTTTGACACAAGAACCTGGGCCCCCCCGTCACCCCCCAAGGCATATAATAGACACCCCAGTTTTTGCCCCCCAAACAAGAGATATCTTTTCAGGGTGTTGGTTTCATTGGGGTCTGGGATGACTGGCGGCATATTATGCCCTATGCCCCATGCTATACAAAGCATGGAGTGTCTGAGTGCTTTCGCCTCCAGTGAAGTTCTTCTTCAGCCACAGCAAGATCCAACGCCTTGGCTCACTTTCAAAGAGCAAAAACGCCGAGAAAAAACTGAGAGGTGTGACTCAACAAAAACTTGAGGCCTTCTAAGAAGACGATTCTTTTTGGTAGACTCCAACACCTGAGGTACAACTAGTTTTGGCGCGGGGAAAGAGGACCAAACCACCCCGTGGCCACGACCGTTCTGCGGTGTTGCTCCATCTTTCTCCGCTGGGTATGCGCGAGGCAGCGCTGCCTGGAGGTGTGGCTCTGAATGGTCTTCTGCAGAAACTTGCGTGTAGCACATTCCCTTCTTCTCAGAGGCGGCCTTCCTCCTCAGAGAGTGGATGAATGTCGAATTGTCCATCATAGTTGGATCCGCACGCAACAGCTCTCCCATCACACCTGGCAGAATCACTGAATGACAACCTCCTGCAGAACACATTGTCACAAATGGGAGAACACCTCAGAACTTGCATGTTGGGCCAAATGCTGTTCGTTGGACTCTTTTGTTTACCAGAGTTCGCCCGAGATCCTTTCACTTGGCAGCCAGTCCTGCGGAACAGAGAGGAATCACCAAGGCACGTCCAACCCGCTCACCCAAAGTTCGAACACAAGTAAAGGACCCAAAGATGCACCAGATCTCTCCACCTTTTAAGGTGGTGTTGCTCCGGTTCAAATCGTGGGTTCGGGACATGGATGTTCATAGATTTTCGGATTTACCTTGCTTTGAAAATCTTTGAAGTACTCCCTGCGACACCAGTGAAACACGATCTGGTCTGGGAGCCATGATCACATCCAGACAAAGTGGGTTTCAGGATCCAAGTGGTGCAGGTGCAGAACAAAAAGGCAAACAAATTATAGACGTCTAGATGTTAAAAATATGTTTAAAACAACAAAAAACATGTCTCGCACGGCGTGGTCTCCGCCTCAGACCAAGCCAATCACCAGCTGCTCACTCCAAATCCTCACCTTTTTGGCCGCCTCCAGGGAGACACAAGGAAGCACGTGGAGAAGGTCTTTACTTTGTTGGGGGGATGAGAATGGATGAGACTGAGGTAGGTCTGTCTGTCTGTCTGTCACGAGGCTCCATATGCTGATTATGTGGATGCAAACTGGTCTTTTCCGGAAGCCAAGACCCAAAAGGCCTGTCTTTTCCGTCCAAAACCCCGTTCATCCCTGTTCATCCTGTGGATCCAAAGGTGTTCACTCTGTCAAAGGAGGGGGGAAAGCTCCCAGCAGTTTCCATGTCTGGTTTGGTTCGTCCCATTCCGCAAGCTGCTTCGGATCGCTGGAAGACACAACCGGCGTCTCTGGCCAGTGACAAGCCCAAACAAATAGACCGGTTGAAGAGTAGAACCAGACGTTCACCCGAAAACATGGAGGTCAATGGTGCCAACCTACGGTTACCAACCTCTTGTTTTCCCTAGGGCTCCAACCACCTCCTGAGAAGGTGGTTGGGGTGGGTTTGGGGGGTCTAACCACCTTCTGAGGATATGGTTGGAGCCCTAGGGTTTAAAGAAGAACCGGGTAGCAGCCCACGACGTCCCGTGACCGACGTCCGTGACGTCGGAGACGATGTGCGGCCGCGAGGGGCCACGTCGGAGCTCTTCGCTTCGGGACGTGGGGGCGTGGTGGGGGAGTCATACCTTCGTTGAGTCACGCCAGGAGTTTCGGGGTGGATCAAAAACATACAAATCATCACCTCCTGATAGGTGAGATACCTCCTGATAGGTGAGAGATGGGCTTCGTTTTCGGACTTGGAATCGGTATCGTGAGGAATGAGGGAGAACCAAGCCCACCAAGTTGAAGAGTTCCTCCGGAATAGGCCCCACTGGTACTTAAAATGATGTATCACTACCCGCACCCGACTCTACAGGTCTCCGACATGGAGGCTTTTGCTGACCTAAAAGTCGCAGGTGATGACTTGTTGGAAGGTCCTGGTATATCGTGCTCGTTCGGTTCGTACACCAAATCTTGGTCGAAAAATACCTCGCCCATGTCAAGTCCGCTTGGAGTCTGGACAGACTTACACTCATTGGTTACGTGGATGGCCCCGAGTTTGCAGTGGTGCCATCCATCCACTAACCCGCATGGGACCCATGACGTCAAACACTCCCATGATATGGAATTGATGCCCCCAAAAACCAAGACTCCTTCTTCAACCACCCCAACTGATTGGCCCCCATCGCTTCGTCGCATCGTCGTCACGGACGAGGCGTTGGGGGTGGCCTCGCTTCTGCAAGAGGAAGGCCGCCTCGCTCGAGCTCGGCGCCACGTCCAGAGGAGTTCGCCCGTATCGGTCCAGGCGATTCACCTGCGGTTCTCGTCGACTGGGACGGGACCGCGGGGCCATCGTCGAACGAAAGAGAGACATGCCCCGAGCCGGAAAGGACCTACTCGAGCCGAAAACAGTCGCCGAAAATGTCGAATTGGAACCTGGAAAAGGTGATTTGAAAATAGAAGATCACCTCCAGCAAAACCAGGCAGACCTTCCGGCGCATGGTCGTGAAGTCAGTCAAAAAAAAGCAATTTTTTCCCATCGGGGGGGTTGAGACGTCCAGTCATCCGACTGGTCATGGTCCAACTCGCCTTTCTCATCCCAGATGCACCCAGTCATCTTGGAGAGTCGACTTTGGGATGTTTGGGGGGGATGATGGGGGATGTCTCGCGCCATCGACTCGACTCAACTCACCGTGTTCGGTGGCCCATGTCTCCATCGAAATCCCCGAACCGCTGGCCGGATGTCTGCCTCTGCACGGTTCCGGAGGAGCTCCAGCAGAATGGGGCAATCTTGGCCTTGAAAAACGCCGGCCACGAACCCGACACCCCACCAGAATAAAGCTCATGTTGGTCATGCCCCAAATCCGCCAACATGCCAAGTTGGCACAAAGCCTCAGCCTCAAACTTCTATTGATGGTGATGGAACAAGGGCCTCAATGGGAAACTTCTACTGCCGGGAAACATCATCCAACAAGAAATGGATGGAATGTCTCCCCATCAGTCACTCGATATGTAAACGATCTCGATTGACTGTCCAGAAGCGGTTCGTCCGCGAGTGCGAGTACCATGTTGGAGCCCTCTTCTCGTCGGGTGGTCCTGGTTTCCTCAACTAAGCCCGATGGATCCAAAATCCGCACCCTTATCGTACCGCAACGACTCTTGGTGCAAAACATTCATCGACCTGGCTGGTACTGCCAAGCAACCGCAAGTGAGAGCCCGGCTTTGTCCGCCAACGAAACAAAAACATCGGCATATCCGAGCACGACAGATCTAGTGAACTGTGAAAATCCTTTCGTCCTCGACCTCCCAGCAAATTCAGTCAGAACTAGGTACGTATCAAATTAGTTTAACCTGGGTTTCTAGCTGAAACGGCATCCTTCGCGATCCACCAGACTCACACATCACCCGCTGCCCAATGGCGCTTGGCGCTTAAGTGCAGCAGGCTTGCACCCCGCGCGTCACCTGCGGTATAGAGAGGATTCGCTTCAAGTCGGTACAGGTGTACAAAGTTTCAGCATACAACTTGGCTTCAACTTATGTATCAAAAGAAGTTTCGAGTAAGACATGTCCAAAACATTCCAAAACCACAAGTTGTCGTCGTATATAACTTATAACTTATAACAGGAACCCTTGTGGGAAGAGTTTTCAGGGCAGTCATACTCCCGGGTATTCGCTCACGAACAACCAGAACAACGTATATCAAATGGCTTTCTGAACATTTTCTGAACGCACATAAAACAACCTATAGGGGTCCAAGTACCTTCTGAGAAACTCGGACTGGGGCCACGCGGACTCCTGGACGCGAACCAAACTGCTACAGGTTTTTGGACTCAGTCCAGCCCTCACCCGAGCGGCTCCTTGCTCTTTTCGCCCGAACGGGCGTTTAGAGATGTGATGAGAAGCACCTCTACGTGGGAAAATGAGCCCAGTCGTAGCTGTGTTTTGTTCGGGTCATGATCGGTCCTCCCAGTTTCTAGGCCAAATGGAGAGGTCCAACAAAGGTTGCGAGCCTCGCAGCACGACAGACCAAGCGAATTGGAAGAGCACTCCACTTCTGTTTGGGACGTGATGACTACCCGACCCTCACTGCCAGATCTCCTCTGGTGGCTTTTTTGGAGACTAAAGGTGACCATCCAATGGGTGTCCTGGCTGGAGATGGTCTTAAGTAGTGTAGGATAGTCGATTGGAGGTCCAGGCACAGATCTGTCTCTGACTAGTGCTTAGTAGGGAATAAGGGAATGAAGAAATGCATGACCCCTCCACTACCAGGACCGTCCAAGAGGTCACCACCTGCGACTTTTAGGTCAGCAAAAGCCTCCAGAGGAGACCTGTAGAGTCGGGTGCTGGTAGAAGATATATTCTTAGGATCCAGCCACCCTCATTACGAGTCGCAGCCAACGGTCTGACCGGCCTCAACCCTCCAACTCTTCGTCCGAGCTGCAGGTTTCGAGCCAGGCACTACTGGGCTCCGAATCCAGAAGCTGCTTCACCAAGGCCTGCAGTTAGTGCAGGCATTCCAATCAACCAGGTCACCTGCAGTGGTTTCTTCAGCCGGGGACCACACTCAAAAGCCAACAAAACCACTCGGAGCCGAACCAATCCCAGGCCACAGGCTGAGCCTGCGAGTTGGGTGGCTTTCTTTCAGAAGACCACGAGTTGGGTCGCCCAAAAAACAGGTCGACCGACCATGTCTTCAGATCGACCAAAGGCCAGATCAAATACAAAATACACCGTACCAGCACCTTCCAACAGGTCTCCTCTGGAGGCTTTTGCTGACCTAAAAGTCGCAGGTGGTGACCTGTTGGAAGGTCCTGGTATGTGAGAAAAAGCCGTCGACCCTGCATGGGCCAAAATCATGGATGCTTTCCACTGTTCCACTGAAGTCGAGTGGAATTCAGGAGAAACACATACCTCACCCATATTCCCTATTTTAAAGGCCAGCCCTTCGATCAGTTTTTTGTCCTCAATACTGACATTCTCGGATTTGCAGCTGAGGACACTGTTCACAGCCCCCTTCCTGCTAGCTCTGTAGTAGATCGCTACCGAACAAAATGCCGAGATCAAGCAACAATCACCTCTTAGAGAGGGGACTGGAAGCAACTGGAAGAGGGTTGATGAACCAAACCACACCGCCGATACCATGTACCATGGAAACTGGCATCCATTGGATCCATTTCGCCGGCCTCATCGCCTTTCTGAACCGCCGGCAACAGTCCTGCATCCATCATCATCCATCTATCGAGATTCCAGGTCGTTCAGAATCAGGGCAGAACCCACCCCAAGTTTGACCCCTGGGAAAGAAACCTTAAGAAAAGCCCTTGGGCCAAGGGGAGTCCTCACTAGAATTACCAACATCCTACCTACTGGTGACGCTTGCATCTGCAAACACCCGCATCCGATGCGCCGTGCTGCTCGGATGAGCTCTGTTTCTGTTGCTCGGATGAGCCCTGTCACGCTAGTATCGCTCACGATATCTTTTCTCATGACTTGGAAACCCAGTGGCAAGAAGAAAAACAGTCTGGATGTGTCCACTTAAGCAATCACTTGTAAAAGGATCTCAAGCTGACGCCATAGTGGAACAACCATTTGGTATCGAGTTGTTTCTTGCTTGGGTGTCCAGGGATATCCATGTCCTCTGCCAAAACATGTCAAGCGTTTTCTGCAGGGTCAAGTTGCACAAGAGCAGGACTTCTCACAAGCACCTATAAGTAATAGCTCAATCCCTGAAATCAATTCAGCTTGAAATAACGGCAAAAGGTCCAAAGCTGCTCAGCTGCTCCAAGGAACAAGGTCAATCCATGAAATGAACCATGTATAACTATGTATAACCGTATAACTGTATAACGTAACAATGGGATTCACATACCCCCTCCAATCAGTTTGGTCCGCTTTGGGGCCTCCAATACGAAACGCCAACTCTAAAAACGCCCCAAAGTTGATAGTTTTTGCACTGACCCCGCCAATTAGTTTGGTTCCGCGTTTTCGGGACCGTTTTTGTTTCAAGACCAACCTTGTTGACTTTCCATCTGGGGGGCTCATATATAGAGATCTAGTCTTTGGGGCCTCCGCGAGGGACGTGGTTGAAGGTAAAACGAGTTTCAAGGAGCTCATGGATCCCCATGGTAAATCATTTAGACTCTCACTCTAACTACCTAACTACCTCTGAACGAGGCAGAAGTCCCTCACCCCCAAAATCAGCCAAGCTGTAGAATTTGGAGCTGTAGACCAGGCGTTTCAAGCAATGCCCTGTGAATCCTCAATGTGGACTGCTGGTGGTCAAACCAGTGCAAGGCGTCCTCGTCGGAAATTCAGCAAAGTCACGTCAGCCAGCATATAATCGATGATCTCCTCGAGTGGCAATGCTCGAGCAAATCGCTCTGTTGAGAGGTGAGGGGCCCAAGAGCAGAGCACTGAGAGTCGAGCAGGGCACGGATCGGTATGGCTTTTCTGAATCGGTTGGGTGAAAAACATCCGGATGGAGGATCCCCCCAGCTTTTTCCTGCAGCTCATACCCGCTAGCCGGAGACACTGCGTTTGAACACATAAATAGGACAAATAGGATATGTTAACAAAACAAAATAAACCCTACGGCTCCAAGTAGTTTCTCAGGGTTTAGAGGGTCATACGTTCTGAGGAGGTACTTGAAGCCGTGGGCAATATAAACAACATGCTCGACTTCGGAGAATTGATGGGAACAGGGCAGTAATGTACTGTAGATGTGCCATTTGGAAGAAGGCCGCAAGGTTGCTTGTTTCAGCAGGTTGGGCAACAACCGAAAAACCGGGATCAGATGAGCCTTCTTCGTCGCCGTTCCTAGCCGTTCCTTGACCCTGACATGGCTGCCGCCCATCCAACCCACGCCCAAAAATTCCTTCTGAAAAGCTATGCCACCTTGCAAGGCCATCGCCCAAAAACACATGAAAAAACGAGTCATAATTGGAAGTTCCAACCAATGCAGCCGTCCTCCAAAAGCCACTATGCAGAGCCCCAAGTGGAGCGAAGCAAAAATCGGAATACACATGTTTTAGAGTGTTTTGGAGTGAATTTCGGGAGGATGCTCGTATCCATTCTTCCGCGGCTCGTGATCCATTCTGTTGACATCTCCTACGCCTTCCCAAAGGCCGAAACCTCTGCTAAATCCACCGAAAAACCCCCAACAGGTCTCCGATGGCTGGAGGGTTGGGAAGGGCCCTAACAGGTGTCAATTGGTGACCTGGCAGTGAGGTGCTGGTAGAGAATTGGGATTGGTGACCTTGCTCCATCTTCCGGTCTTCCGGAGCCTTGCTCAGATCGCCAATTGGTCGACCTATGGGTCGAACCCCCCAGTGCCGGCTCTCCCTTAAGTCATTCAGCCAAAAAGGCCTCATCACCAAGCAGTTCTTCAGAAGTTCTTCAGACATTTCTCCACCAGCACTCCCCACATATCCCCTGAAGCCGCGGATGATCCGTCACCGAACGAAGGAGGTCCAGCGCCTGGTGCTTGGCCTCCACCGCATGGTCCAAGGCTGTAAGACCCTGGAGGTCGCTGCTGTTGAGCGCCAATTGAGGCCGAAGCTCTAAGAGACGCTGGATGACCTGCGGCTTTGCACGGTTGGTTTGGACGGTTGGTTTGTTGGTTTCTTTGTCTGAGTGTTTCTTACATGTTCCTTTAAAGGAAGAAGGTGGCATCTTGATCAAATGTCTCCTCGCATCATTGGGGCTTGTCAAAAAAAACTGTTCATACCGACCTGGATCATCCAACGGGTCAATTGTCTAGCCTGCACTACATGGATCTCCAGCCAGGACACCCATTGGATGGCTATTTCAATAAGATTCTGCATGACCTGGACCCTTCAATTGGTGCCCTCTTCTAGGCCCCTGATCGCCCAGTGGGAGCTGAGTGAAGCGAGGCGACCCCAGGTGTTGCAGGCCAAAACAAAGCTGACTCCCAAGACAGAAACTGTCTGGGTGTCCAATTCAAAAAAAGAAACGCAATCCTTGAGCAGGAGATGTTGTTTTGTTGCTAAACAGAAGGAATGAAAGAAAGAAAGAAAGAAAGATCCAAAGAACAAGAAAAAACATCTTCTCAGTACTGTGAACCAGTTGCCAACATCTCATCCTCCAATTCGCCTTCAGATGTCCAAAGCGCGCCGCTTGGATCAATGGCGTGTGCCCTGGCGCGTTGGTGGTGGCAAGTTCCCAGCCCCAGACCAAAGCGGGGGAGTGCCTTCCTAAGGACAGAATGCCTTGCTTGACTAGTCATTTGTCTTGGACTCTTGCATGCGAGGGAGCAAGACATATTCTTCCCCAAGCTTCCCCATACACACCTGGACCTCCCAGAAGCTTTGGGATATGTTGGGTAGGTGTTGAAACACATATCACTACCATTCACTACCGGAATGAATTACCGGGTAGCAAATCACAAGATCCACCAAAATGGGAGTAATCATCCGATTTAAAAGGCTAACACTACACTCTCACTCATGGGAAAGTCGAAAGTAACCTCACAATGCCTGCATGCACACCTGGATATGTGTTTGAGAGGGAACTAAAGCCTGAAAAAGCAGGAAATGTCTTGTCCTACCTGATGCTTGCGGAAACCTGTAGATGAGGATCTACGTGTATGTGGACCACCTGAGCAGGATCAGGGACATCCATGGAGATGTTGGAAGAAACACCGAAGAAGTGTAAGACTGAGTCCCATCCCGCAGCTGGTTTCAAGGGTTCCATGGACTGGGCCCAAGTGAGGGATGCGAAAACCAACAAAGCGCAATCCCTAATGTAGATTTTTGAGTAATAAACCCACTCAATTGAATTGGAAATCCTCTTCATTATGGGAGGGTTGATTAATCAAGAGTCTTACATTACAGCCAGGGTCCAACCTCTTCTGAAGGGCCCCAAGGCTGTAACGAGTCGAGCACGAGTGGGCATGTCCAGAGAATGATCTGAAGAAAGGATCACCACCACCCGTTGGAAGCTGCAACTTGGACAGCAACAATCTGGCATGAAAACCCGAAACTTCCTGGCCTGAATCTCGAACAACCATGGTATGACGAATTGTGCCGAACGGAAGGGGTCTAGGTGACAAGGGTGGACCAGAAACAAGTGGGTCCAAAAACCACCTGTGGAAAGGTCCTGGTAAAAAAGACTGTCTATCTATATGGCTACGCTGTGCCAGACGCACGTGTGGCATGTGGCACGCCTTCATCATCTTTCACCTCGACGTCTGCAAATTCTCCTTGGATGCGCTCGCTCGAGAGGGTGGTTAATACTAAAACCCTTGGTTCGGGCCCGGACCCCTGCGTTTCCGTGTCTGGTCCGACCCCTGCCATGGAGAGCGCAAGGATTCTTCGGGAAATAGCAGATGGCCCAGGTCAATAGAGTTGACACATATCAACTGACAAGTGGACAACATATTATTGCCCCAGCCGATATCAATCAATATCACACTATAGTGGACCAATATATTATACATGTCTTAAATAGGTACACAGGACACAGCGGATGAACATTTGTATCTTGAATTAGCAATGACCATAGTCAACTCGGTTAGCACATATAGATTGAATATGTTTATGCCTGAGCGACCTCTAGTTTGGACCACCAACCACCCAAAATATGGTCTTCTAGTAATTGTCACTCAGACTCAATAGTGGATTACTATATCTTCTCTCTATACTGCCCCTGGCAATAATCTGGCAATAACCATTTTGTGAATACCAAACGGGTGCTTTTCCTCTTTCATGACTATTTCAGGAGTGTCTCACTGGAGAAAGGCTTGCAATCCTCATCATGCACTTAATATAAATTTCCTTTGTTTACCTCTCTATCTACCGGGTTCACTCTCTTCACATCTTACTTCACCATGGCTGTGGGTTTTTCCACCAGGCTATACCGAATACCAGGTCAACCTATCAGGGTGAGCTCCGGGCATCGGACCGACCCTCCCCCCGCGAGGCGTCCGGGCGTCGGATGATCAGCCGCTCCAGTGTCGCCACGTTGCCGGCGGCCGCGGCGGTGCTGGGGGCGGGGGCTCGGGTGCAGAGCGTGGAAGGTTGGAGTTGGGGTCGAGACCGCCTGAAGAGGTTGGAACTGAGAGACCTGATGGCCAACTGAGAGACCGAGAATGGCCACTGGGAGACCTGATCACCTAATTAGTCACTTAAACATATGTTTGGGTGCATATGGATGCATCTGGAAGATCGGCCGAGGTCACTGCTCAACCTCTCGGATGGCCTGGGCGGTGGGACGGGCACCTCTTGTGATCTCTCGTGACCTGGGGGACTTGGAAAAAGGTGACCTCCAAATTGAAAGCATGAGTCCCGCACGAGGTGTGTCTTTTTCTCTCTCCCAGGTTGTTCCGGGATTTCAAAAAACATGATCCCACACGAGGGTCCAACCATCCTCACACTGGACGAGGGATGCAGAAAGAAAGGGGGGCAGCCCTTCTTTAACCCTGAAAAAAATTCTAACCCTGACCTTTCTTTTTAACCCTGGAACCTTCTTTTCTAACCCTACACTATTCTATTTAAACCCCGGGTTGAAATAGAGTAGCTTCTTCAAGCTTCTTGGGACGACAGGTGAAACGACTTCCAAGGAAGCTAGTTACTATACTATCCTTCCAAGATATACTCAGAAAACTTCTTGTTGCGACAGGCGAAACGATGCGCAAGGAAGCTTCTAGTTGCTAGTAGTAACCTTGTAAGAAATACACAGAAGTTTTTGTTGAAACGACTCCTGAGGAAACTAATGCACAACACCGGATTCAGTGCGCACATGCTGCTGGTTCAGCCCAAAAACATCGCAAACATGTTACACAATAAAAGGCTCTCTCTAGGGCATCTGACAAGTGGGTGTCAGTCTTGGTGTGGTCTCATGACAGCAAGCTTTTCGAAGCCTTGTGCGCAAACCATAATATCAGAAAAAGGGCGGTCCTCTCAACCCGCAAGCTTCTTCCTGAGACCGGGAAACCCCGTCACAAGCATCACAGAACACTCACGGTTGATACAAATTTATGACGCTGGCTGATTTGAGTCATCCGGGTTCCGGTGTGAAAAAAAGGACGCCTTAGTGAATTGACACGCTTTCCGACGAAAACTGCTTGAGCAGGAATCTGTGATGGAGTTGAATGTGTTAGCGCGCGGCCGAAAACTTTGCAATGCATTGTGATGTACGCACTGGCTGCAGCACAGGTGAGTGTTGGAAGATTGATGCAGCGCAAACATGCGCGGAAGCTGCAGGCATCTTTATACGCAACGTTAAATAGAGTAGTTTCTTCCCCAGATAGCGCTCGGCGGCCTTTTCTGGCCTTCCACCATCGGCTCGTTGATGCTACCTCGTCGCTGCGGTCGACGACTCTAAGGAAGCTATAGTTACTAGTATTCATTAGTATTCTTCCCAAAGAAGCTTCGAGTTGCTAGAAAGCTTCGAAGCCATACACACAAGCTTCTTGTTACGACAGGTGAAACGATTCGCAAGGAAGCTTCTAGTTGCTAGTAAGCTAAGAAATACACAAAACCTTCTTTTGAAACGACGCTAAGGAAGCTAGTCACTAGTATTCATCAGTATTCTTCCGAAATATACCAAAAAAGCTTATTGGTACGACAGGTCAAACGATTCGCAAGGAAGCTTCTACTTGCTAGTAAGCTTCTAAGAAATACACAAAAGGTCTTGTTGAAACGACTCCTGGGGAAGCCAGATACTAGTATTCATTAGTATTCTTCGAAAGAATATGCAAAAACTTCTTGTTACGAGGTGTGTCCACCTAACATACCCTGGTGGAAACTTGCTTGAGCTAGTCTTAGTCGTGTCAAACAGTGGTTGTTCATTGAATACCATGCCCCAAATTGTGGTTGGAATTCTAGGGATATAGTTTACTTTAACAGACCTCCGGCTACTCATGGTCTGAACCCAGAGCCTTCAAGATCCTATACATGAAACGGTTCCATCCTCTGGCGGTCTGCAGGCCGCGCACCGACGCGTGGAACCTGGTCTTTGCCGACGGACGGGCGCCCAGCGCAAAGACGGCGGTACCATATTGGATATCATATCTGTAAAAGTTAACAAATCTGTCTTGCTGAGAATACACGCATATATACTATATATATATATATTTGTTATTTCTTTTAAATACAGCTGTTTTGCTTTCTTCGCTTTCTGTGTTTTGGTTGTGCGGTAGTCTCCCCGCATTCTTTCAATGCATGTGCTGCACTCTTTGTGGATTTGTACCACTTGCTCTTTGAATCGAGTTTGCACCGTACTACAACAACATCAACCGGGACAGAAGACCGTGCTGACAGTCTCCGCAGATTATTTGTGTTCTCCAAGGTTTCGAGAAATGACCCTTGGGCTGAGGTATAAACACGCTTTCTGTATTTCACCTTGCGCGGCAATCTCTCCGCGTTGTTTCGATGCATCTGCTGAACTCTTTGTGGATTTGTCGCATTTTCTGTTTTGCGGAATTGCATTCAAGTTGATCTTGCCTTGGAGAGCTTTCGCAAACACCACGTGCTCGCAGTTGGCATGCATAAGAAACTCCAAACAGGTGCATAAAATAGAATCAACGCTTTCCCGGTATTTTCTCTTCTGTCGCGGCCATGAAGAGTTTGGCAGGTGGCCTTGCATCACGACGGCATGTGTTTTGAAGCACTTGCGAAGGACAGTGAGATTGATGTCGCTGCTTTCATCCACAATGCCTGCAGCCTTCACGGAGGTGGTGAGAGCGTCTCCCTCTGAACATATCATGCGACATAGACATTGAGCAAAAATCTTCACGAATTGCCACCTGCGCCGGCAGCATGCCATCTTGCTTCTGCGCTGCCATGACCCAGAAATTGGTCAAGCCATCAATGCCTGGATTCCTTGCGTCGTCTGTGCGCAGAACGACATGGCAATAATTCCGAGTCTTGTCAAGACGCACTTCCCGCGCATTCCAAAAATCGACTGCAGGAGAACGGCCTGCGCTGCGTAAAGTTTGACCATTCAGCAATGTGCTCGCCGTGCTCTCGGGTCATGTTCGAAATATTTTTCTTTCGCCCCATTCAAACTGTTCTTGCCACGTCGCAGAAAACAGCTTCTGCATGTGTTTAAAAATGTTTCGCGCACAAGAGCAATTGCTGCCCTGCACCTGTGCCTGCCAGCTGGCATGGAAACTTTCAATGGTTTGCGATCCTGACGCAGTTCCAGCATATGTGCCAATGACACCCGACCAAAATCCAGCAAACCACAAAGCTTCTGGGTTCCAGCTCCCACGATTGCAACGAAATTGTTTCCCTAAGCTCTGTGGCGTCGACAAGCGGAAATACGTATCTTGCAAGTATGTGACTGCCTTATTCGATCTATTCTCCAGCCAGGAAAAGGTAAAATGCCAAATGATGTCGAATAACTGCGCCGTGGGTAGGATGCGGCTGATTTGTATAATCTCATCTAAGGTGGCAAAGTCATCATCTTGTCTGGCAGCTTTGGATTTCCTTTTGCTCTTTTTTGCAGGCGCTTTTGGACTTGAAGACGCTTTTGGAATTGAAGAAAGCCTCGGTCAATTGAAACACTAACACAAATGAGCAAAACATCGGAAACGCTACACAAAAGTCAACTAAGGACAGGACGGTGTGATTCGTGAAGCAATCCCTGTAGCGTCTTGTACGACGCCCGGCGCTGGGAAGTCATCACAAGGCCTTGCAGCTGGAAAGCAATCTTTCCGCGATTTTTCAATCCCCTTGCTGAAGTCTTTGTGGATTTGTATGACCTGTGTGCTTTCAAAGCGAGTTTGCAACATATCTTGGCGGTCTCAGTCGCAACTGTGAAGAGATGACTGACATTCTCCGCAGATTCTGTGTTCACCAGAGCTTGCAAAAATGGTTCTCGCGTTGAAGTATAGACATCTGTCGTCTTCGACCTACTGCGACTTGCTTTGGCTCGTGAAATTTTGTCACTGGAAACCAAAAAGGATAAAGTCAGCATTGCGCACTCGTTCACCCGATTTTTTGTTTTCCATCGATGACCAGCTTGACGAGTTTGTTCTCTGCTGCCTGGGCTCGCTTCAACATGCCCGGACAGGTCCACACGACGCAAACTTGGTGTTCAGACACAACTGAAGCATGCAGAACTACCAGCAAAGCAGCAAGCAAGCAACAGGAGCAGCGGCGGATCACCTTTCAGGCAGCTACAAGCCAGCAGCCAAAGGAGAATAGCAGCAGCATGAACAACAACACACACAAAACAGCAGCAAACCAGCGGCCGCAGCAGTATCCAACCAGCGACACTCGCAGCAGCAGCGTCAGCAGCAACTCAAGCGCCAGCTAAGCAGTAGGAAAGCAACAGCCAAGCAGCAGCATAGCAGCAGCAAAGTGCCAGCGGCAACAGCAGCAGCAGAGGCAGCAGCAACAACAGCAGCAACAAAGCACCAGCAGCAACAGCAGCAGCAGCAGCAACACCACAGCAGCGGAAAATAACATAGGAAAAGAAAAGCTTTGGTACAAATCCAGTCCCAGGATTTGAACCGAGGTGCTTCACAAAACCATCGTAGGCAGGAACAGGGTAGTTTTTGCGGAAGGGGGTGGCTACCCCTGGTGGGCACCTTGGCTTAGAAAAGTGTGTAGCAGGGTTCAAAAAGAAGGCGGGTTAAAGAAGCATGATTTACGGGTTGAAAAAAATAATCCCAACGGGTTCATTTAATAGAGTCTTGGTTACTCTACACATTTCCCTGACCCGGGGTTAGAATAGCGACTATGGGGCTTAAAAGAAAGGTCAGGGTTAGAAAAAAATGTCAGTGATGTCAGTGGATTAAAAAAACATCCGGGACCCACCCACACAGGCATTCCCATATAGGATTCAAAACAATTTAAATTGCACATAATTGCACCCAAAAAGTACTCTGGGGCCGGATCCTCCGCCAGAGGAAAAGAACAGTATCAATGCTCTCGCAGTTTAGTGGTCATGTTGAGTCTTTAACTCCAGCTGCACACCCTGTGCAGCCCCGCCCTCTGCAGAGGAGCGGCAGTAGCTTCTCCGATGCCATCGCGGAGTGAGGGCGTGGGAAAAGCCGCGCGTGGTCAGGGATGGGTCGCAGTGGTCATTGCTCCGCATGCTTTCTAGATGGAAGAACATCGGAATATGATTTTTCTGCTGGCTTCCAAGTGCCAAAGCCCCCAGTTTGGGTGTCTATCAATAGCTGTTTAGAGGTTAAGAGGTGTCCATGAACCACACACATCCATTAACTGGTGGGGGCTCTGGCAGAGAGGTGCCCACTTCTTTGCCGGTCATTCATGTTTGATCCCGGTCCCATGTGCTCAAGTCCTCCGTATCCTTCTTGGCGACAACGATGTGTCGATATGTGTGTTTTCCGCACCAAACCAAGGCCTCCAAACCTCGGCTTGGGCCAACACGGCGGTGGAGGCAACATGAATCAAGAAGAAATAGGTCTTTCCCACCCATATGCGACCGACGATCGGACCCCGATATGGAGTGGTTTTGAGGGAAGTTCAAACAGATTCGACATGTCGCCAACAGCAGTTCGGCGGACGGAAACTGTGGCGGGCTGTGCAACATCTTCATTCATCCGCTACCCACAGAAACACGAGCTGCCAATGTATCTGCTAAGCTGAGAGTTGAGGTGAAAGAAGACACATCACACCACATCCGAGGCTCCTAAGGACATATAAGAACAAGACCCATCTTCAGACCCTCACTCTCGTGGCTTTCCTTTGGGCTCTTGGAAGGCCTGAAATCCCTGTCAAACCACTCCATAGGACTCCACCGGCGGGTTCCACCGGGGTGGCAGGTTCCACGGCGCGCGCAAGCGTTCTACGCCGCTGAAGCGTGCTCCGAGTCTACGCATCCCGGCGCTAGCAAGTGCTTCAAAGTCTTCTGGTAGAAGTTCACATCCAGCAGGACCTGAGGAGGTTCCAACCCTCCAAAGCACCCAAACCAGCAACCTCTACAGGAAAGTTGGAAGTGGAGGGGCAGACCAGGCACAGAGTCGGAATCATTCTTCCTCTTCAAAGTTTAGACAAGTGCCATTGCTGCAATGCTTACACGCCCGTCGAAAGAAACAGTTCTTCTCTGGTGAAGCCTGCCAATCACTCCCCTGCTCTTCCAAGTTTCCTATTCCACCTCAGGTTTCGGCTTCTATCCTGCCATTTTGTGGGTGGGTATCATAGTGGATCCCTCAAAAATGGGTTGCGTTTACCGGTCCACGCGAGAAGTTCCGCTCGTCCCCGTGTACCTGCATGGGCGGGGTAGTGGCTCACCCGGATTTTCCCCAGTTCCTCCATACCCGTTAAAATCCATGGGACTGGAAGATTTGCCTACATGGGGGCCCCATGTTCTCATGCTGGAAAAAAGGGGGTCAATGCCAATGCGAATGCTAATGGAACCCATAGAAAACCACACACCTAAAAAAAAAATGAAAAAAAAAGGAAAAAAAGAACGTAAATTCACCAGGAGTCACATGTCGGGGTGCCTTACTAATGGAGGCTGCCGTCGGGGTGCCCAAATTCTACACATCCACGGCCCCTGGATGGGACTTCAAGAAGCACCCAACGCCCTCCATGTGACTCTTGGCAACAGGTGCCTCGCTAGTAGTAACAGGTGCCTTACTAGTAGTAACAAAGAAGCTATATAGAATTAATTCAACAGTCCCATCCATCGGAATTCTTCGGGTCCCATGGGTCTCCGTCCGGTGTCGTCGCGTCCGGTCTCCGGAGCGGTCTCCGGAGCAGTACTCCGTCCGACGCACGACGAGACCTGAGAAGCACCATCAACGACTAGGCCAACGGTGACATCAACTACTCGGCCAACCATCAACTAGGCCAAACCATCCGGGTTGACTCCGAAGGAAGAAGAGCTGGGAGGTGATTCCGCTTTTTGGAAGCACCTGGGGCGAAAGGGAATGCGTCCAAGGTGCTGCGTGTGGAGTACGCTGCAGTAGCTTTGCACTGAAACCATGTTGAAAGGCCTCGCCGGTAAACGGGGCGGAACCAGTTGCGCACCGTGTGAAGACTCCTCCAGACCCTGACTGGATCACCTTCCTGGTCCTTTGCCCCATTTACTCCTGTGTCACCACCCAGTACCTGTGGGAGATAGCAATGAACTTGCTTGCAATTGAGAGAAGCCTCTGGACGTGTAGATTGTCTGGACGTGTAACGGCTTCATGGTCTAAACGTGATATAATTAATCTATACCAGCACCCAGCACCTACAGGTCTCCGAAGTGGAGGCTGACCCTTGCGTTCGGGAACGTTCCGTCGCGCCCTTTTTGACCTGTTGGTTTCGGTCCTTCGGTCTCCTTCGGTCCTGGTACAGATATGAGGCTAGTTGGTGCATCCCAATTCAGATGCGACCTTTGCCCTCCTCAAAGGCTGTTCGGCCCTGTGAGATCACCATGAACCGCTGAGGGGAGGGTCCGTGACGCTTGAGAGGCCGCTTTGAGGGTCCCTGAAGGTGGGTGACGCTTGAGAGGGAACTTCTTGCAGAACTTCTTGGCAAGTTGGATGACGACCTAGGTTCCAAGTTGATCAAGACCTAGGTCAGGCACGAGTCCCCTTTCCAGAATGAACCACCTTTGGGTATAGACAACGGCAAAATACCTGATGAAACCACAGGGCTTCTCCAATCTGCACCCGCAAGCCTGGGCGACATCAAACATGAATCTTTCAACAGATGTAAAGCACCTAAGAACACCACACCACCCACACCTAGACCCAAAAAGGAATGAACCTTTATAAGAATTATAGACAATAGTCTTCCAGCATCACCCAAAGTAGGTGGTTTATAATGGTTTATAGACCCCCCTGATGTACATTCCACCCAACAACCACCCGAAGTGGGTGCTGGTGAGTTACACTAGTTGAGCACCTCAAACCTCCCGGACGATGGACCCTCCTCACCTTTGTGGGGGGAGGAGCCAAGCACCGGTTCCACGCTCGGTTCCACACGCTTCGCAGACCCCGGTTTCACGCGGTTCGTCGTCGTCGCCTCCTTCAGACTTCTCAGCAGCTCGTGTCCCGCATGCTGGGGATCCTCCGACCCATCAAGCTCTGGTGAACCCCCAAGGATCAGGTCGACGAAGGGACGAAGTTCCATCATCTCCTCCTACTCCTACCCCCCCCTCTATCCCTTCAGAACAGCCATCAGTTGGCGATGGAGGGCAGTAGGATTTGGGTCCCGGAAGGATTGGCTCGATCTAAGGTTGCTCGACCTCGGTCGCCTCCGGAAGGTCCTGATGTGACGGTCGCCCCCTATCCGAACTCCGGGGTGGGTGAAAGCTAGGAATACACACCCACCTGGAGCTTCAAACAGGAGGGGACGTAGCCCGAAGCAAATGCATTCACGGCAATGACCAGCTTCTTCAAAAGTGACCGTTGTTGCAGGCTTAAGTGACCTCAATGTGGGATCTCCAAGGGTCACTATATGCAGAACCAGGTACATCCAGGTACCCATGTTCGGAGATGCTTTGCTGACTAGGTATCTCCAGGTCTCTCCCCCCGCGTCGGGGAAAAAGCAAGACATCGAAGAGTGAAAACAACTGGTTTGATGCTCACGATCTCTCAGGACATGTGAGGAATCAAGGAGGACCCCAGACCCTCAGGACATGTGTGCAGTCATACCAAGAAGACTGGTGTGAAGCCCTCAGACTGCTCATGTCTAACCCAGAAACCCCAGTGAGCTCCAGATAGGATGGTGTTTGATTTGAAAGTATTCCTTAAAGTTGGACAACCTTGGAATTCTTCGAAGTTATAAAGCACATCCTCACATATCCTCGCCACATACCTTCATGAGTTACCTGAACCTCTGAGAAAAGCCGGATCAGCTGAGCCCCCTCCCAAGCCAAGCTGTATAGCGATGCCTTTCGACCAAGCCCAAGCCTGTTTAGACTTCTTCCTAGGTCCTTGAAGGCCGGCCATCACATATCATCAGGTCCCTTCTTCGAGTCCCTCCACCAACTTCCACAAGTACCTCCTGGCTTAGAAGGTCAGCTTGGACTGTCACCAACTCAGTCTACACATGAATCGGTACACCAAAACATCACCGTTCACTAGGGATCCACATACCTTCTCAGGACTCAGGAGGGTACTTGGGCCCTCCAAACCTACATCACAGTGTCTCCAAACACCTTCTAAAAAGGTACGACTGGATCCCTAGGGATTGTTACCAATTGGGGTCACACGACGTTGTACACCTCCAACATAAGTGCGGGTGGATTCCCGCCCGTTTCAAGTCAAAGACTTCTCTGGGCACCGATTTGGGGTCGAAGATCCGCAGAAAACGCTTGGGGGGCGGGACCTGAGGATCTGAAGGAACATCAGCCGCTTCCTCATCTTTCCTACAAACAAAAAACTGAAAAGGCTCTCAGATGCCCTAATTAAGTTGAAGAAAATGCATGTTTTAGAAACTCCAGGAGGGGTGAGTTCCTTTGGTTCATGAGGTCCTTGCGGTAACAGCTCTACCGGCTCCAACGAAACAGCTCTTCGCCACGCTGACTCAGCAGACCGCTGAGAGCATCCATCTGAGGCTCCCAGCAGCTGCCATCTCCTCAGACCGGACGTGTGCTGCCTTTACAACGCTAGCGAAACAAACGTGAACATACCAGGACCCCCAAGGAGTACTTTAATGGATACCGCTAATCACAGCTAAGGGGTTTGTTATATGGTTATAAATAGACACCCCGAACAGGAGGGTCCTGGTACGTGAAAAACTTGAATTCTCAAGCAGCTGCAAACGATTAGGCCAGGCATCTCGTCGTTGGGAAATGTTTGCAGCTCCGACAGTGACCATTGGGGACTACTACCATCCCTTAGGTTCTCCAGTGTGCCCTTTTGCTTCGAATTGTGAGACTCTAGACCCAAATCCCAGCAACCTATATATCCGCTCAAAGAGTAAGGGCGCAGGAGCTGGTGGCGTTTTGGCTCGCGAGTGCCGGCGGAATGGTCGAATTACGGACTCGCTCCGTCTGAGGGACTGAACATGACCAGACCATTGACCTCCTCTTCAGATGGTTTGTGGACCTCCCACTCTCCATCCGGGTGATAGGATGGAAAGAAGGAACATTATATATACGTATAGTTGATCAGAATGGAAGAACCATTGGAACAGCTAGCTTAGGGTTACAACATGGTAAAACCCCCGGAATGCCGAGCAAGCACAATGGAAGAAGAAACCAAGCCCGTCAAGGTGAAAAGAACAAGGTCGTACAATGTCCTACAATCACCCAGAATGGCCAACTTTTATTCGGACTCGACCTGTCTGCGTCATCGAAACATCAAAAATCTCCGATTTTGGGGGTCAATCTCCTTGTACGCTCCGACTCACTAACATGGAAGTGGAAAACCCCCGTTGTTCGTAAAGGAAAGTAGTCTTCCTTTCGGGACCATGCCATCCACTTCCATGTGATGTGTTCGTCAGAGTGTACACTCCCTTGACTTCAACAGATGGCATGGCCCCGATGTCGGAAGATCTGACGGAACAGGGAGGGGTGTTTTTCCCTCCATAGTCAGTTTCAGGGAGTCTATAGACATATTGGAAGGAGAACGTAGCAAAAGGGACTGAATATCATCAGGTGACGCAAGACCGATTTGTTCTTCATCTGGCCTCAAGGGGCCCACTCTTTACAACACCCTGCAGAAGTAAACTGCTGTTGGTGAATTATAGGGAGGTATAACTGGTACTGTAGGGGGGTTATGAATCAAATTTCATCAACAGTTCTGACATCCCCCAGAAACCCCTCCCGGACAGAAGACCTTCCCGGTTCTCCTGCGCAATGGAGCCCTGCAAAGAACTCTCGAGCGGATGCTCATGCGCGGCAAAGAGGATGCCTCGTGTCCACAGTTCGCAGCTAGAGGACTGGTGGACTTCCAAAAGTTCATCACTTGAGGAGCTGCGAAGCAGTTTCTGGTGATGCAGCCAGTTCTAAGAGGACCAAATAGAATCCTTCCATACCATTCTCTCTTGAGAAAACACCGAACCGTTAGGCTGGACCTGTGACCGGTCAGGCTGTGACCGGTCTCGTTCCCCTCCACCTCCGCGCCTTCCACGAGGTGGATCGGCAAGTTCCACCGGTGGCCCGACAAGTCGATCGGATCACGAAAGCCGATGGGGAAGTTCAACTCCTGCGGAGTCCGCGCGGAGCGGAATCTCCGAGTCCAACGCAGCCTCCGTTTTTTGGGGGACGAAATGGATCCGATCCATGATCCAAGGAACCTGAGGGACCCATTGCCCGACTAGTCAAGGGTTCCGAAGATGAGAAGTCCAAAAGTGCCCATCTTTTGTAGAACTCGACGATCTTTCCTTTGCTTGAAGCCTTCAGGAAGTTCCCGAATTTCAGAAGTCGGTACGAAAGAAGTCTCGTCGACCTCGCGGCGAATCTCATGACCTCCTGCGGTTCGGAGTTGGTCGGCTGCGAATCTCACTTTGCAGAATGTGCTGCACATCTTCCCGTTTTCTTTTCGGGCGTTGAAAGGGGTGGTTGTTTGGTGGGAAATGGGATGAAATGGGAGACATCGGATCTTGGAACGACAGGATCAGGTCTGATCAGGTCTTGATCAAAACGGTACAAGACTCCTCCTCCCCAACTAGGTCCAGTCGATGCTCCGTTTCCAGTTCAAGACATCGAAACTTGTACTCCGACTCTACGGGTTGCAAGTCTTGAAAAGGTATGAGAGGAGACCTGGCACTGACATTGTTGGTATGTGTTTGGTCGATTTGACCGACCGGACTCCGTGTTCCAACCGCCACGAGCCGCACGAGCCCGTGTCCGAGACCCGTGTCCGAGACCCGTTTCTAGAGCCTGAAAGAGAGACATGAGACACCCTAAAGAACCGATAAAAACCGGCACCTTCACTGCGTGCACCGATAGCTTTCGGGCTGTTTCAAGTCCCCTGTGGTGACGGTGCGCGAGGTCGTCGTCGGAAGCGACCATGAAAAAGGTTGACCTGGACTTAGTGACTAAGTCTAACATGTTGATTCAAGCTGGTTGTTCAAGATGACCCGGCGGAATCAATGGTGGGCCAAGAATCCTAGGGTTCAATTCTCTTCAATCCAAGACTCGCTCTTCAGCGGATGAAGCAACACATCCACCTCGTCCATGATGACCTCTGCGTAAGACTCGTCTATCCGAGACTTCAGGTTTCCGGGCAGAGCATCACCAGCAGAAATCGGCAGAACACTCTCTTTGCCCAGTGAGTTCTTGAAAAACCTGCGACTTGTGAGTTCGTACCTCCCAGTCGACCTGTTTGTACCCCAGGAGTGGGTTAACCCCGTTTGTTGTGTCATGTCCCAGTCATGTTCGAAGCTATACGAACCCAGTCGTCGGGTCCAGGAAGATGCCCAAACCTCTACTGGTGATCTCTGACCAGTCAAACTCAGGCGACACAAGTCCCGAAGATCACCTTTGGAAAGCATCACCAAGTTCAACCTATCAGAATACCAGGGCAGAGTCTTGCACCCAACTTCACAGATCATTTAATCAGAGGCCTGGCAACAGGGCCCCACACACCAAAAAACTATCAGCACCTTCCAAAAGGTCTCCTCTGGAGGCTTTTGCGGACTTATTGTTGGAGGATCCTGGTAAAGGCCTTTTGGGAGGCTCCTGGTATGGGCAAGATGAAGCGCACCTGAACCTCATTCAAGCCCAAAACGAAACACCGTTCTGCCCCCAAACGGCAGGTTCTCTCATCCACAGAAGGGGAACTCCTCCACAAAAAAAAGCCTTTGAACAAATAACTCTGGGTGTGCCTTCTGATAAAGCTGAACAGTATCCTGCGACAAACGTCTTTAAAGCACGAAATCATCACCTAACCTTTCACTTCTATCTGTATCCTCTTTATCCTCTTCATGGGCAAATATATGCAAACCTCCTTCCTTCAACACATCCACGTGAACAATTGTTGAAGACCGGGTCATCGTCTGAGAGGCCTCCCCCAAACGAGGAACAGAGTCACTGAGTCCTTCAACCTGAACCTCAATGCATTGGGGGTTCACAAATATAGCGTTCAGTGCTTTAAGCTTACAACCTGAGTCAAACTCCACTTACGTCCACATACTCTATATATTATATGTCATATATATATTGTATATATATAATATATTAAATGAAACCCTACCTTCCGAGGCCGTTTAAAGAATGGTTGAGCTGGTTTTGTCGCGTAAATTCCTTAGTAAAACAATGGTGGTTCGAGATTCAGGCTATTATATAGATCATTATAATCAATGGTGGGCCAAGAAGCCTAGGAAACATGGCTATGGCTCCGAGCCCAAGCCGCAAATCCCTAAGATTCGAAGTCAAAGTTCAGGAACTTCAGGGTAGCGGTAGCTCCTCCCTTTTTCTTGACAAGCCCACATGCCAGGACTGCGTCTGGACCTGTGAACGTCCGCACGGTCGCTTTGTTCACCCAATTCCTGGCTGCGTCCGAAGGGAAAACTCCTGGGGTTCCCTGCAATGCCGGTCCTTGGTGGAGAAGCCAAATGGATGCCGAAACAAATGAGACTCTTCTAGTCCATCAGCCAGGCCACAAGCCGCTAGGTTTGTCGGCCAAGAGTTTGAATGATGTTGATACAGTTTGGTTTGAAGGGAGTACGAACATGTCCCCAAAACCAGCTGTCTCACCAGCGTTTGGAACTGAGATCCTTAACGAGGTGAGACTTGCAAAGGCTGGTGGCACTGGTGGGCGTCAGACCCAGCAGTTTGGGCCAACATGTTCGAGCGGATACTCAGCCAAAGATGTATGCCTGGACCACCCCTCTGCATGGGTGTCCAGTGTCCAATCGGTTGGACACCCAATGGATGGTCCTGGTACTGATGCCATGGTGTTGTGCTCCGCAAAACCCCCAAAACGCCTCTGGCAAGTGGTGATGAACATCCATTGGTTGGAAACCCCTTGATTTTACTTCCACAGCTTGGCAGAAGAATCCTCATCTTGGATGGGTGTTGAACATTCCTCTCTGTGAAGGACAGCTTTTTCAGGTTTAGTTCGTTCAACCTGCAGCGATTCACTGGAGAGAGCTGACACATCAGGTGATCGTCCTGTCGCCCAAAACGGAACTGAACGGAACCACCGCCTGGGTCTTCAAAGTGAACTCTGCAATGATCCACCGGCCACTTTGGTCATGATCCACTGACTGGCTATGGGGGAAAAAAGGGGGCAAGCACACAAATCACCACCCCAACAAACCCCAACCCCCCAACAAACTCCTAACCCTCCCCCCCCCGCCCCCCCCAGCCCTGCCGGGCATCTTCCAGAGCTGGATGAGCCGTACTACGGCATCCGCCATGCCGCTGCGGCGCTCCAAGGTGTCCCGCTGCCGTGCCAGTTCGCGGTCCGAGCGCACCGAGGCGCCTCCGCGTGACGCCGCGTTTCGGACCGGATCGGATCACGTGGGACGACGCCGACCGATGGGGTCGACGCTTTCCGGACTGGCAGATTTACCCCAGTACATCCCAGTTACAGCGGAACCAGGGATTCGTTCGGTCGAACTGTTAGTCCTTGGAACCACTGATTACCAGCTATAAGTGGTAACTGGATGCCCTGGGTACATAGGGGTGGATGACCTGGGGTCAATGTAGGCATATCTTCCATGCATGGAGTGTCTGGGTAAGGTCCACTTTGTTGATTTCATCGCCCGAATCCCGAACTAACAACCATGAGTTCTTATAAGACATTTAGACTGCAAAGTCCAGGTCAACCCAACTCTATTGGTCGCAAGGAGGCTATTGGGGATGTGTGTGGCACTGGGTGGAGAAGGGATCCAGGAAGCTCCCGAGGGAATCCACTGCCACCCTCCTTGTCGGTACCGGTGATTGGACCCTTGGACCCTTGGACCCTCACCGACTTCGACCTCGAACGGAGCACCGGAGCGCCGTGGCCGTGGCCGTTTTCGGCGGTGAAAGCACGGAGGTCGGACCTTCGGACCTTCGGAGCTGTCGAGTCGGATCGAAGGACGATGGGCTGCGCTGAAGGAAGCAGGACGTGGTGAGACAGGACGAGGTGGTGATTTTCCAGGAGGAAGACGTGTCTTCAAGATCTGGTGGTGGTGATTTTCCAGCTCCCAAAGAGCAACTGGCTCGATGTTTGCTTGCTTTTTTCGGAAGGTGGTTCAGTTGTGCAGTCTTCCTATGTATTCTTCACACATTGTTTGTTCATTGAGACCAACGCTTGCAAAACCTTTGAGTGAGACCAACCCTCAAAGTTTTTGCTTGCAACCGGACCACGATGGTGCCCAATCATAGTGATATGCAGTCCCTGTGCGCCTATCTAGGATGGGTCTAGCTAGGATCAGACCGAAGTTTGGCTCAATTTGGGAAGACCGGACCGAGGCCGAAGTGAGCCTTCAAGAGAGGATGAAGTCATGGACAGGGTATGCACAGATCCCCCCATTGAAGTGATGGGGATATATAAATATATATATATATATAGGACGGCATATCGAGGAATACCCTCTAATGGGCTCAGCTATAAATGATTGGGCCCAGCAACGAAAGACCTATCTTCAATAGGTCTTCAATAGGTCTTTTGGACTTCGAGGCAGTGGTTTGGTGCTACTTTGAAAATGTTCAAACCAAACTTTCAGAGAAAGGCCCTAAGAGTCCGGGTTGTTGAGGTTCCGGACAATGATGCGGATATAAATGGATACAAAAAGTAATATAAATCATAACATAACTATAACTAGACAATATATTACTATATAATGTTTTGTACATTACGGAGACTCCAGGAATTCCTGTAATTACAGTAATTTATAGTAATTTGAACATCGGTCCCAATCTGGGCCTTCAAGAAGTCAATTCTACCCCTAAAAACTGAGGCTCCAAGAACGCCGATCTGAAAAAGGCCTTGAGGTCCCTCACTTCCTGGACCGCTTCCCCCAGGATTGCGAGGCGACTTCGCGCCTGGTGCCAGCGTGGAGAAGTCATAGCTGGCCAAGGCATGAAGCTGTTCGATGAATTTCAGGAGCATCGACCTGTGAGCAGCATGGCTCTTGAGGGTCGCGAGAGCAGACCGCGCGCGGAGGTAGGAGCTGCCAGGTTCCATTTCTAAGGTACGACCTGGCAAGTACTGAGAAAACACCTCCTGAAAACACCAATGTGAACGTTTCCATCGCTTCCTAGCCCACCAACTCCTTAGTCTCAGACGACCGACTCCGCGAAGACCAGGGCCAGGGGGTCACAAAGGGGTGCCCATAAAACCACTCACTTAAGGGAAAATCCATTTGGCACCCCTTGGATCCTGGACTTGCGTCTTTTCCACGGTTTTCCATGATTTCCAAGGAGTGTATCGAAGAGCACCAGCACCACGCGGAGGAGATGCAAAGATGGTCTTTGAATCCCCAAACCATTCCAAACCGCCTGTCAAGGTGCCTTCAGGGAGCCCTAGGGCAAAGAAATCTTCCAAGAAACATCCGCCCAAAGAATGGAGCGATTCATCAAGCGTTCACATGACCCTCTTTCTTTCGGTGATGCGTTTCCTCAACGCGTTGTCCGTGCGTTCGGGTCCTGGAGTTGTGGAGATCCGTATCGATCGTATTGGCTGGTCCAGGACACCCAGGTCCTGATGTCCGGCCCCTCCCCACACGGTACCGTTCGCTCTCCGCGCGATGCTCGTGTTGGGCCGCCCAGTCGCTTGATCGACTCGGGCGAACTCACCACAATGCCACAAGCTCTACGGCAAGCCTGGCAGGAAGTGGGGCACCGAGTTGGGCATCAATCACCCGCCATGGCCAGAAGTTGGGGTTTCTCCTGAACCAAACCCTCAAGTTGATGGTTTGGTACTGCTGAAAGGAGGAGTTCCAACTTAGGGCTGGATGATGATCCCCATCCTGGTCCATCGCCTTGTACCCCAAAAGATACCGATAACCAGGACCGAAAATGGCCCAGCGTCCATGGCGCGCAAGCTGGTGAACCGCAGGAAAGGGGGTCTTCTCCGGCCATGGTCCCCCGGCAAGACTTGAATGGCCCCCTCCCCGCTCTTTCGAAGAGTGATGGACACCAGGCTTGGCTCCATGCTGGGCTGAACTTCCAAGTGCCAGGATTCACATGTCGGGGTGGTGTGAAACGTCCCATCCAGGGGCTGTGGATGTGACAGGGGCACCCCGACTACCTCCGATCGCACCCGTTTGTGACTGCTGGTGGGCTGCAGTTCATCGCCCCACGCCCCACGTGGCACCGAACCCTGCCGACCGGTGCTCCATCCGACCGGTCGGCGCATCGGACGGGCCGCACCACGAAAGGAGAAGTAGAGTGACTAGCTTGACCCCCTTTCGGCTTCCGGACTATCCAAACATGACCTCGTTGAGGAAAAGGCTGTCTTTTGGAGAGTTGATCCTCCAAAAGAGGGGTCACTCAGGTTCTAGGCAGAGTGAGGCAAAGATTCTAACATCCAAGCAGTGCTTTTGCTGCGCTTTATCCTAGAAGAACACATAGAACTTTCATGAACATTTCTGTTTGATTGGATGCCAAACCGGTTTTTGACTCATGAAATCACTGATTGAACACCAGTACCGGACTCTTCTTCGGGCCGTCACCTTCCGTCTTTGGTGGCCCAAACCCCGAGAAAAAGGGACACGAATCGGCCTCAAGCTTTGTGTAGATCTTCATGATGGTCTCAGGGCAATCGTCCACCTGCCGGTCGAACTGAAAGGTCACGATGCCTCGGCAGGATGGGAGGAGCTCAGATATCCTCTTCGGTCAGCTGACCCGCGCAACGGCGCAACGAAAAGAGTCACAACTCGCTCTTTTGAGATCCAACAAATAAATCCAGGATGACCCAGTCGACCATCAGGGGAAAGCTATCCGTACCGTACCATCAGGGAACATAATGCTTCGGTACAGGATGAACATCTAATGCTTAAGATCTCATTGCTCATCTTAGATCTCTGAGAAAATCTAAAATAAGAGTATCTCCTGTTAGATGGGCTTGGCAGACCATCCTATGGATGTTGGAGATTCCTAAGTCGTGTATAGTAGTTCAGTCAGGAGACCCCATAAAGACAGCTCTGGATATCAAAAAGTCTTGCCCAAACGGCCCAAACGCTCCTGCACTTAGTGAGGGTCTGGAGGTTTCTCACCCAATCCCTGGTTTGGAGGGACCGGGAAAGAAGGAGGTGAACGGAGCGGACCCCACCCAGCTCCGGGCCCTCAGATGCGTCGCCGAATCCGGACCCCGTCCGGAGTCTCAGTGGGCGAGGACCATCAAACCCTTCTAATTGAGACCTCAAAGGCGTTTCCAGACGCCTGCGCCTGGAGGTTGGGATCGATGAATGTTCTGTTCCCATTGTTCCCAAGTTGTTTGAGGAGTTGAGGAGTCGACGAGACTCATGCGGGGTTTCGTTGTTTGCAGGGGTCCTGTCCCAATTTCTAGGGCACGAATTTGTTGGTCCAGGTAATCACTGAGAAAAACACCTGTGAGTCCTGATATTAAAAGAGAAGAAATACCGCTTTGGCGTGGTTCCTGCCCTGACCGTCAGTGAACACCTCACCTCACACTCAAGTTCATCCCTCAGTCCAAAAGCCAAAAAACTCACCAAGTGACAGATCCCACCTCTCAGCTGACGAATTCTCCAGTGCTTCAACAGCTGCATGCTGCCCACCTCCACCCTCCGCCTGCTTAAGCGCCGGCCCTCGCGACGCCCCACCCTCCTACACCCCGAGCTCCCCGCCTTCCGCGCGGACGTTCCCTCACGCGTGGGGAACACGCGACCGTATTCGTCCTCGCATGGGTGTCGCCAAAGCACGCTTGGGCATGAGCTTGGAGAAGGACGCCCGCAGAATCTGCCGGCTTTGATCCAACAGGGGACCTCGAAGGCGGGGCGGGGACCACACGGTAGGATGGTACCGGGTGTGGGAACCGACGAACCGATCGGCGCAGGAAGATCGAGTATCTGGACGGCGTGGTCGAGGTGTGGAAACGTCCAAATGGTCACCCTCTTCATGCGGCTTTTTCTTCGGTCTCCGTACCTCGGTGCGTTGGACCCTGGAAACTCATCCCAAACACTTTCGAAGGTACGACTGGAGCCCTAGGAACAGCACCAATGCCTCTGGACCGATCCCTACCACCTGCATCGCACCTGCGCTTGCAGGCGCAACCCAGGAAGTGGTAGTGGAGTGCAGAAGAGATGGCACATTCAGTACCTAAGGTTGGTGGTTTATATGGATCCCATTATCCCATTCATATCCATTCATCTAAAAGACTTCTTGGGGGTTGCACCATCGACTCTGAAGCCACCGCAACGGCCCGCTGGAAAAGGGGGTAAGAATTCAAGGCAAATTCTCTGGCATCTCCTCCCTGGAGTCCCCGAAGAATCGTGGAAAGGGTTCGAGGCTCGTGTTGCCATGTTCTGAGAACAAATCGTCAAAGCCAGGAAATTTGCGCTTGGTACGACTCTCCATCTCCGCCCCTGGGTTAGTTAGAATGGAGACATCACCGCTCCACAGCCCACAAGATAGCAAACCAAGCGAAACAAAGCAACATGATTCTGCCAACACACGGGGCTTGGGTGGTTTTGTTTGACACCCTTTAGACTATGTCTTTTCCTTCCAATCACCACCCTAACTGGCTGAATTGCGTTCCTTTTTAACCACCCGTGCAGGTTTGCGAGACGCCGGCACGCGGCGCGTGGCACGTTAAAACCGGGGCACTAGGCATGACCTGCGTCACCAAGACATCTGGCTGACTGAGCATGGTCGACAGTAAGGGGCCCACCACCTGGCTGTGAGCTTCGTGGCCACAGGGGCCCGAAACCAGGAGCCACACTCAATGTTTGGAGGCGGATGACCGGGGAGCCTGTGGAACTGTAGAATTCCGGGTTCGGACGTGCCAGTTTCGAAGGTGCAAGCTGGAGAGTCCAATATGCGGAATTTGGAAGATAGGGGTGCCCCTGTCACATCCACTCACTGGATGCTAAAACCACCCCTATCGCACTCCTGGTGTTTTCAATATTTGGACCCACATGCCGCAGGTTGACACCATCCGCTGGGTTCGGTTCACTGCAAGATTTGCTCAATTGGAACGGTTGGCTGGTGAACAACCATTTTAAGGAAGACACACACACCTACCAAGTGGTGACTTGACCAGACACTGAATGGCCAAATGCCATGGTAGGAGGGTGTCTTCACGGGCTTTTGTCGACCAAACCCGGCACTAAAAGCGCCATAAATCTGTATGCCGCAATTGGGGGGCACTTGGAGGCTGACCCACACACACACACTCCCTTTTTGGATTTTTGCACAGAGTTTTGTTGTCCTTTCTTCCACCCTGTTGGAACTACTGACACTAATTGCCATGGTGCAAGCAACACACAACATAACCCACAACAACTTGCAAGCGTATCCGGAGGCACGCCTAGCGGAGTTTCTGTGTTCTGGCTTTGCTGCGGCCAAGCGACATTGACCCCAATGCCCAAGCACTGTCGATCATCGATTACAAACAAAGGATCAATACAGTACATGTGCTGGACCCCAAAACATACAATCAAGCAAACTGGACCCATCGGCAGCCAAACCACTGTGGTCTTGCCAGCACCCATGATCATCTGCTGAACTCTTGACTCGCCCTCTTTGTAGCTCTGCATAAACCTCAGCTACCAAGTCGAACCATGTTGATCCATTTTCGTTTTCCAATGCGGCAAGCCGACTTCAGTTCTCAAGGGCCGAGCAGGGCCATATTCCGGAGAGCCGCACAAAGTTCATGAACAACTTATATACATGCCCAGGCTTACCAGGACGCAGGCTCCGACACGCGAAGTGATCCCAGCTCATGATTCTTGTCAAACGCTGGGTTGCTGACTCCCACACCTATGTCCAGACTCAGACTGGGCTACCTACCTGGCAAGTCTACAACACAACGGCGAACTTCAGCAGTCTCCGAGGTGGTCTTGGCAGACCCTGTGGACACGATGAAAGATCACAAGCAAGCGCTGAGAGTTGTTGTTAAATTTCAAGGGCACATGGCAGAATCTGATCGCAGCCACGCACCTGACGCGCTATGGAAAGTGGAAAGTGCACACGGAAGGCCGCACTGCACCCGGCCAGACTACAAGAGCGGGACACGTAGGCAGATAACCCGCACAGCAGCATGGATACTGCAACCATGGGCCGGCTCTTGGACCTACAACGCTGTGAGGAGGCAACAAAGGTCCAACGGAGGGAAGTCCACGTTCACGATGCCCTGAATCCCACGTTCATGACAGCCATGCGCCTTTTTGCAGGTTTCCATGCTTGCAACAACCGGCAACAGTCGGGTGGGTTGCGGTGCTCGCTTCTGAAGCAAACTTAACCGGGGAAGATCCATGTGGAACAGTTATGAACATTTGGGGCTGGCTTCACTGAATTTAAGTATCAGAAAACCTGTGCAGGATTTTTTATTGACACTTTCCCTCGTCTTAAAGCGTGTTTACGCAGGGGTTAAATGGTGTGAGCACTGGCCACAAAGAAAATTGCTGTAGAGCTGAGCTCAGAGTCCCCGAGTCCCCGGGCAGGTCTGAGTCCCCGGATTAGCATGGCGCGGTCTGAGTCCGACCAGCGGCCGCGGCCAGCGGGAACGGTCGGTCAGGTAGGTGGCCCCAGGAGAACGTACAAGACAACACATGTAGATACACGTACAGTGGATCGGGACGGCACAATCACCAAAAGGCGGTTTATATGGATCCCTATCTAAAAGGCATCTTGGGGTTTGTGCCATCTACTCTGAAACCACTGTAGTATGGTAGGTGGCCCCAGGACCTTCCTGTCGAGGTTTTTTTAGGCCGCCTCTGGCAGAGGTGTCAGGAGTGTTCCAAAACCACCGAACTTGGAAGGTCCGGGTATGTATGATGTTCGATTCGCAGGATTCAATTCAGGGATTGTGGGTCCCGAACCTGGAAGAGGGGTTCCTGGCCTTGGAGGCTCTCTGTTTGGTGTCGCTCACGCCCATTCAGCATTCAGAACATCGCCCCACATTCGGCAGCTCACACCCACTGGCACCAGACTCAATGTCTTTTCCGCCTGAAATTGGGTGACACAGGGTAACATGGGTGACCTGTATATTCTTGGTGGAAAGGAATGTCAACAGCAACTAACTCCCTTTGAATGTATTGGAGGCGCACATAATGAATTAGTCTACCTGGTTACCTGGACCTTCCAGAGTACCCAGAAATGGGACAGGACCTCACAAAAGCGCGACTGTACACATGTTGCAAGGTATTTTCATGGAGGGTCCAAGTACTGTGTTGCACATGTCTGCCCTGACGATGGGAAGGAAAATAGACCAAAACATGTTGGTTGGGTGTCTCTCCATTAAATTTACACACCCCAAATGAAACAGAACCTGTGACGCCTCATCTGTGCAGTCTTCCAGCATTCCTCTTGACAGATCCGTCGAAGGTGCAGCTTTGGACAGCATGAACAGTAGATTCAAAATTTGCTGTCCAGTAAAGGAGAAATAATTAAACATCTATAATAATACAATATATATATATATGTCCCCATGCCTGGGGATTGACCCAGTTCGGGAACATAAACATTCTCCAGATACCCTACATGTCCAAAGACTACTTAGCTCCATTAAGTAAAGGAAGTTCTTCGAATACCGAGTCAGAGCATTTAGAATTTGTCTCGGACTGCCAGGGGTTTTCAGCCAAACCAGGGTAGGTTCAGGATTAGAAGCACCGATTGAAGCCTTTGGAGGCCCATGTTGAAGCCTTTGGACCCTTCAAAATTGGACAAATTGGACATGGAGAGACGGACATCGAATGTGTTTTCAATCTTCCAGAGCACTGACAGCCTTCTTCAAGCTTCGCTGTTTCATCCACACTCAAGGAACGTTCGTCTGTGGACACCATGTCTTATTTGTTCGGGGTCGTAGATGAATCAAACATCAAGGTTACAAGATTGCTGCCTACTGTAGCTAGAGAATGTTGCATTCTCCAGTTAGAGTTCCTTTTTCTTTGCACTCGCCAACTCAATCAAAGATAATCAAAGCCATGATCTCAGTGACAGGGGGGAAGAGTCTTCAGTTGTCCGGCCATGTTAGTTCCACGAAACCCGGGACTTCAATGAAATAGACATGCTTAGTGCATCCACCATCCTTTCCTGGCAAAGGGGGAGTTCATTGCCTACCGGTTGAGTGTGCTGGCAACTTTGCAGATCACCAAAAACGCCCCCTGACCAGAACAACAAACCACACCAAAACCCCAAACAAAACAAAACACCCAAACACAAGGCTTGACCGTACCCAGCCGTTGGGCTCGTGGGCCCTTTGTGCATCCGACGTCCGGCGATCGCGGAGATCCCCCCGCGTCGCGCATCACCAAGGTGCCAATCGACCATCTCCACTTGGCGCGGGCGCAAGACGATGTGCTGCATGAACTCAAAGAGGAGAAAGCCTCGGCCAGCTGGGCCCCAAGAAGGGAACGTACCTCATATCACCTCACAATCCGAAGAAAAGCATCTGCCAGCTTCGAAAGATGGGCCCTTTTAAGGGCTGGTTCTAGCAGGTCTGATTCCTGCCATATTGGAACCTGAAAATAAAGACATGATAGGTGTTCAAAGGACTTCACCTTGGCATCCTGGTCGCGATGGGTTGCGTGTAACGTGGAAAACGTCGTTCTGCATGTACCAGCGACTCATTTGGGTTTGGGTTTTGATAGGGAAACCCACCGCCAATAGGTTGTGGTGGGGGTCTCCCTATTAAAATGCACTCCCATTGGTGAATTACAGCCCAGCTCACCCGTGCGTTCCTCCGAGTGATGAGTTATTCAGGAGTCGCAGAACTCGACTTGGGCTGTTTTCAGAGTGCAACTGGTAGAGAGATCGGTGCCAGGTACATATATATACTTGTTGGTTGTACACCAATTTGGGATATCCCCTCTATAATCAACGTAGATCAGGCCTATGACGGAGCCTGGGCCACGGGCGACGGGCCACAAGCTGCCCAGTGACGTGGATCCAAGACGAACTGATCAGCCTCCTGCCCCGCCGCTCGTGCCCCGCTCGTCGCCCTTCGTCTCAGAGAGGATGGTTCAGTCTGGGAAGCTCCTTGCTCCTAGTAGCGATGCCAGGAGCCCCGATCGTAGCTCTAGTAGTAAGGCCAGGAGCCCCGATCGTAGCGTCCTTGCCCAAATTGCGTCCTTTCCGTAGTGAAGAGAGAGTTACTATCCAGGTTGCATCAGAGGAGAACGGTACCGCCAAGTTATCATACTTAACTGTGCCAGCCCGCATAGTTTGATCTGGGGAGGTCACCTGTGTCACTGTCTCTAGAGGAGAGACAAAGGATTTGACACATTGTGGATAGACCAATGCCCGAGTCAAGTGTCCCTTTCTGGCTCAAGCTGTGTGAGGCACTCATGTCTTCTGAATTGGCGCTGAGATGCTCGGACGGAATGAGTGAGTTCGGTATTCGGAAACAGAATGGCCACGGAGAAGCGTTTAAATGTTGATTCTGCTATAGTAGATGAGTTCTTTACGAAAGACAGAGGGTATACCCTTGGACGCCAAAGCATGTCAAAGTTCCACTGATGAGACCCAGCCCTGCCCTATCAAATACTTGCGAGTCAACCAACACTCTAAAAACAGCCGGCAACATGAACCTCGCACCGCCTCGCAGCACACATGAATTGGGGACGCGCTCTACCATGAAATGCTTTAGCCATAATGTCCAAAAGAACTGGGTTTGTGCTATACCTTGTCAACCCTGAGCCTTGTGATTTGCCACGGGTTTGTTTGTATTTTGCCACACCTTTGCCACGCTGGCATATTTGTTTGCCACGCCTTTGCCACGCCCGAGCTTTAGCTTTGCCACGCCTGAGTTTTAGATTTGCCACCCCCGAGCTTTAGCTTCGCCACACCTAAGTTTTAGATTTGCCATGCCCGAGCTTTAGCTTCGCCACACCTAAGTTTTAGATTTGCCACGCCTTTGCTTAACATTTTGCTAAAGTTTAACTGTATTGGGAAACCTCATGCTGGTGCGGCCGCCAGGCTTTTGTAGGTGTGTGTGTAGAACTGCTGCCAGCTCATGCTTCTATGGCATTCTATGGATTATTGATTGCCCGTGGATCCTGGGGCTTTGGTGGGTTCTTTGGCTTTTGGCTACTATGGCTTCTGCGGCTTCTGCGGCTTTTGGCATTTGGCTTTTGTGGTTTGTGTGGCAATCTCCAACCTCCAGAAGGACCTACTGTGACTTCTTTGGCGTTTGTGCCTTTTGGCTTGTGTGGCTGTGGGCATTTAGTGAGTGTTGAGTTCGGTGGTTTCTGCGGCCTTTGGCTTTTGGTGCCTTTGTGTTGGCTTTGGTGTTTGATTGCTTTAATTTAAAATTAGTAAGTTAAAGTCACTAACCTTCCACAATGTGTGCATTGTAAGGAGAAGCATCTTTGCTATCCTTGCGACAGCTCAAACAAGAGACAACTGAGACCCTGGAAGCGTTTTGTTTTCTCGCACGATCCCAAGCTCAAAAATCACAGTAGTAGTTTACTGTGAGTTCATGTACTTCACCCACTCAGATTTCTTGGAGTGCTGTGGGTCCATAGCCGCTGTCAAGAGGTCTGCGCTGCTGATAGATGGCTTGAACTTTCGGACCATAATGCCCTGCACACATCTAGTGATATCCTTCGCGAGAGTTTCCTGGCTTTGGTTCTTGTCTTCTTTGCGGCTGACTGTGGAAAGTACCTCAGTTTGTGCACGCATTGCTACTGAAGAACAACATTCTAGATTCTAGATTCTAGATTGGGATTGATTTGAAAATGTCAATCGTAGCCAGTTCAGTACAAAGTTCAAAGTACTAAGTCTAAGTCTAAGTCTTCAGAACTTCAGAACACACTCAACACACTCGTTTGACTCAGGGTGTTGCAAGGAGGTCTGCCAAAACCAGCTTCAGCTCAATGAATCGGCTGCCCAAACCATCCCACTGGAACTCATCCACATTCTTTTGGAGATCCTTCAGCATGCATGTCTCACGGTCCACACCATGTGTCTCCAAACCCTTCAATGCTTGTGTAAGCTTCACGTGACTCTTCTCCACGGCAACATGGCATACAAGGAGTCTGTTGACGCTCATGTAGAAGAAGTCAGTGATGTCCTCTTTCACAACATTGAAGAACTGATTGGGTTTGCCACCGAGGCGTTCATTGAAGCTTCCGGAAGACCGAGCAGTGGCACACAGATCCAACATTTCGTTGAGCAATGGAGCATTGGACTTCTTGACAATGCCCACAATGCGCTCCACACAATTCATGAGCTCTGCCTTCACTTCATTAAATGCCGAAGCAAGAGTCTCAATCAACTCCTTGCAGCACTCAGAGCAAAGGGCTTTGATGCGGGTGGCTTCTTCTTCTGAGACAGACTCAAGCTGCTTGCCCCCAACATTTTTCTGGAAAGCGGAAAGCAAGGAGCATGCCTGAGGAAAGCAATCCAGCATATCATTGATCTTGCTCACTCTGGCACTTTGCACGTCTTTGAGCTCCTCTTGTCTCGAAGCAGATTGAATGCGGCCAGCCAACGTATCAGCCTGGAGTGCAGAGGCAAGAGCATCCTTCTTGCTGAGCAATTCATCAATCAGCGCGAAAGAATGGATGAGCAAGCAAACTCCCTTGACCGTTGCCGTCCCGCTGGCAAAACTCAGCTCATGGTCTCTTGAGTGTCCTGGGAAGTAGGTCTCGACAAACGCCTGCACAAGAAAAGCCTTTGGAAGGATGGCTTCTGGGCTTCAATCCAAATGCCTGTCTGCTGATGAACTCCTTCACATCCACTGATGTGCCGAGGATTCCCGTCAGAAAATTGTCCATTGGTGTCAACCTAATTGTCCAAAAGCAACAGAGAAACCATGAATGACCGAAAATGACATTGAGATTGACATAGACTCAGACTCAGACATTGCATGAAACAGTCTTCCATCACATCACACACCTCATGTGTGCCCTTTGTTGAACCTTTAGTTGAGTTCAAAAATTGGAAACTTAGTTTGTTTAGCAAATTTGCTTCTATCATGTCTACCAGCCAAAAGTATAAGTATAGTATAGCTGCATAGCTTAGTATAGTTAGTATAGTATAGTCTTAGTGTAGTATATTTATATAGTATAATCAGTATACATCATATGTCGTATGAAGTTGTACGATTGTTACATCAATGTTAGATTTTAGAGTCTAGAGATTGAAACTGTGTTAGTTTTTCGTTTGCTTGCTTGTTGTTTTTCGTTCTCTAAACTCACTGACTGAGCAACGTAGTGCATAGGGCCATCTTGGCACCTGCACCCAGCCAGGAACGGAGCTTTGCGCTGGAACATGTATTCAATGAAGGACCCAAGTCGCTCATCTTCAGTGACAACATCGCTCGATTCTTGTCCTGACCCTCCATCTTGTCCAAAATGCTCAGTAGATCAAAAAGAGCACTGAAGTGGAGACAATAGTAGGACAGGTCCTGCGAAGAAGATTCCAACAGCCCCTTCCTTGGGATGTGGCCGAGAGCCCAAAGTTTCAGTCAAATGATTCGACTCAAACCAGAAGGAGAGGCGGCTAGCGGCTAGAACATATGACTCATATTAATGAATGTAATAATTAATAACATCAATAATCATATAAATTAAATAAACTAAACAAAATGGTAACTGAGAAAGCAAACAAGCTTCAACCACTCAGCCAGGACTGCACAGCGAGCCAGCAAGGTTGTTAAGGGCTGCATGAAGCAATCTTGAAAGTCCTTGTGCACATCGCTGCCCAAAGCTCCAGTGATGTCAAAGGAGAAGAGATGGTTGAAGTTCATGTTCACTAGCTTTTGCAGCCCTGACATTGCTTCACCCCAGTCAGGCACACCTGAAGGCTTTTCCCCGCCAAGTAGCAAAGCAAGTGCTCTTTCCAAAGTAGGAACAGCTCCGCGCAGAGCAAGAATAAAGCCTTCCTTCAGCACTACAGCCAGCTGATCTTGCTTGTGTTTGATGGCATCGAATTCTTGGTCATGATTGGCCACAAAGACAGGGTTCGCCGATGATGCAATCATGTTGACCTTCGCAGCCAATGAACTCCACTTGGCCTGGTGTTGCAGGCCGACAGTGCCATCTGTGCTCAGCAGGTCTTTAGCACTTGGCACATCAAGAGAGTGCATGATCTCAGTCCTAAGGCATTGACTTGACTTAACTCCAAAAGAATCACAGTGCACTTTCTGTCACAATGGGAGACATTCAATACAACGCATATGGCATTACGTACCATTTATTTCTTGACTGGATATGAAATCATCCATACGCCGTGCAGACAAGAGTCGCAACTTTCAAACCAGAAACCCATGTCATGCTGAGATGGAAGCTCGCCAGACAATCCTGCACACTCTCCATCATCCAGATTCCAAGCGGGAATGCTGTTGTGCATTTCAGGAATTTGGACGCCTTCTGGTTGAGCATTGTTCGAGCTTTCTCCGCTCGAGTTGCGGACTCCTGGATCACTTCTTCAGAGTTCTGCACAAAGGAGCAAAGTGTCTCCAGCTCAAGCAACTGTGAGGTCAACTCTTGCAATGAATCACGTTTCCAAAGTGTGGAGTTTTTCAACAACCCGACAAACTCCGCAATCTTCAGACATCGCTCTTTCCCAGTCAGGCTGCTAGCCTTTTCATCAGTGGGCAAAGTCATTCTCATCAATGATTCCACTGTATGAATCAGGGTCCGTTGGGTGATTTCTTCCCTGGACTCCTCTTTCAGGTTGCCAAGGCCACTCTCCAGCTTGGAGAGGAGCTCAGAGAATTCAAATTGCTCGGCAACCATTGTCAGCTCACGTACTGCCAATATGTCGTCCACATGGGTAGCAACAGTCACGCCTTCTTTCCGGCATCCCTTCAGTGCCTTGCTCAGTGTTTCAAAGTGAAATTGATCACCGGATGTGGCTGCAAGGGCAGTGATCAACGGAATGCATGCCTGCAGCTTGCCGCGCAGGACCCGTGCTGTTGAAACAACAGATATGCTGCGATCATCAGGGTTGTCGGTCAAGCACTGGCCGATGATTTCTGGGGTCAGCCGGGCGTTCAGCTTTTGCGAGACTGTGTTGATCTTAGCTTCAGTCACCTGC